AGCAGCCCCAAACCATGATGCTCCCTCCGCCATGTTTTACAGTGGGGATGAGGTTTTGATGTTGGTGTGCTGTGCCTTTTTTTTCTCCACACATAGTGTTGTGTGTTCTTCTCAAACAACTCAATCTTGGTGTCATCTGTCCACAGTATATTTTGCAAGTAGTGCTGTGGAACATCCAGGTGCTCTTTTTCAAACTTCAAACGTGCTGCAATATTCTTTTTGGACAGCAATGGCTTCCTCCGTGGTGTCCTCTCATGTACTCCATTCTTGTTTAAGGTTTTCCTTATTGTAGATGTGTCAACAAAAATGTTAGCATGTGCCAGAGATTTCTGTAGGTCTTTAGCTGACACTCTGGGATTCTTCTTTACCTCATGCAGCATTCTGCGCTGTGCTCTTGCAGTCATTTTTACAGGACGACCATGCCTAGGGAGAGTAGCAACAGTGCTAAACTTTCTCCATTTGTAGACAGTCTGTCTTACCGTGGACACATGAACATCAAGGCTTTTGGAGATACTTTTGTAACCTCTCCAGCTTCATGCAAGTCAACAATTCTTGATCGTAGGTCTTCTGAGAGCTCTTTTCTGCGAGTCATGGTTCACATCAGACAGTGCTTCTTGAAACCAGTAAACCCAAAACAGGTGTGTGGTTTTTTTTTAAGGGCAGGACAGCTGTCAGCAACACATCCAATATCATCACACTGATTGGAGGCAAGGTTGGCTCACTCCTCACAATTAGCTCTGGGAGAAGTCATTAAGCTAGGGCCTTACATACTTTTTCCTCCCTACACTGCGAATGTTTACATGTTATGTGCAATTAAACCATGGCAACATCTAATGTTTGTGTAGTATTATGTTCAGCAGACTGTGTTCTTCTATTGTTGTGACTTAGATGACGTTCAGAGCACATTTTATGCCCAATTCATGCAAAACTCAACGTAATCCCAAGGGGTTCACATACTTTTTCTTGCAACTGTACTAGACTGGGCTTTATTATGAATTACTGTATATGTATTTATAATGCTACAACTAGGGGCATCAGGCGGTTTTTTTTTTTTGCTGTTTCCAAACACCACTCCATATTATCCCATGTGTCCATCCACACATAGACTTTTAGAAGCTTTTAGTAGCAGTTGCGTTTACCAGCAGGAAAAAAAAACCCAGGGCCAGCGTCCAGGAGCAGCTCTGTTGTGGCAGAAAAAATGCTGGATGCATGTAAACGCAGCTAAAGCACGTGTTAACACTAGGTGCATTTAGCGCTAGAGCGGTAATTCATTTCAATGGCCATAATAATTTATTTTTCTGGCCAAAGAAATGACGCCCAAGCGCTTGTCGCTTGTAAACTGTGACGGGAGTGACTTTTGGGGGTGGGGGGACCCCTGTCTCAGCTCCTCATGTTCCTCTTATGTGTAACCCACCCTGTGCCTGTTAGGGGTACAGGGTGGTCTGTCCTGATATTGTGTAGACATGTATAGGGGGGGGGGGTTGTTCATTGTTCACTGCCATGTGCTGCATCCCATGTTCTATTGTGTCTTGCTTGCCAGCAAACTATTATGGGATTTAGGTGTTCCTTCATTGTTCACTGCCATGTGGTGTATCCCTTTGTTCTATTGTGTGTCTTGATTTGGTGGGGGGTGTTTCCTGTAGCCCTTCCCCCTGATGGGTAGGCCTGCTGATGTGTTTCCTGTTCCTGGTTGTATTTCCCCGCCCTGTGTATATATCTTGTGTTTGTGTTAAAATAAAGCAGTTGACTTCCTGTCTTAAGAAGAGTCTGGTGCTGTCTATTTCCTGCATGATCAGCGGTGGTGTCCGGGGATCTGTGTTCGGACAGGGAAGCGAGAGTCTAACAGAAATACCCTAGCACAGTCGGGGTCCGGTTCCGTTACAATTTCAATGGCCATATTAAATTATTATTCTGGCCAACGAAATGACGCCTAAGCGCTTGACTCTTGCAAATGTAACACACGTCATACATTGTTTCGCTGCTGCCAAGAGGAGGAGCATTTTTAAAAATGTCCTGTGTGCATGAGGCCTAGAAGGTAGTTCATAATGCAACAAATACAATTGATAAAAGAAAAAAAAAAATCCACTTCTCTTTTTTCTATTTTTGTATTAAAAACCCAAATCTAGTCTAGTAGCATAATGTTTTAATGATAAAGTGCAGAGAGTAACAAGGATGCAGTCTAAGAACACAGTATTCAAAGCTTAGAGGAATAAGACATGATTTATGACTGACTGCTATGGGTTGGCACAGTTCAATGTTCTGTCATTTAGAAACTTTTAACTTATTTGTCAATTATAAAATAAATGATGTAATTAATATACATCTTAATACTGTAGTTGGAAACGTTTAGAATCTCAATCAGGTTTCCTAAACTGGAAGTCCAGGCTGTCACTATTTATTCTTAAAGTGATACTAAAGGCTTATTTTTTTTAAATAACAAACACGCTATATTTACCTGCTCTGTTGGTTTAGCACAGAGCAGCCCCGACTCCCACCTCTTCTTGGATCCCCCCTCTGAGTACCCTTGGTATGGGGGCACCTGTGCGTACTCACTCCTGACCCTATTCAGTGTGTCCATAAGACACACAGAATGGGGCTTGTCCCCATCCCCGTTCCTTCCTTACTGGCTGTAATTGACAGCAGTGGAAGCCAATGGCTTCCGCTGCTCTCTTTCAGCCAATGAGGAGGTAGAGAGTCAGGACAGCAACTGCTCTCGTGAACATCACTGGATCAAGATCAGCTAAGTATTAGGGGGCTGCAGGGGAGCTGAATACTAAAGGATACATGGAATGCATGAAGGTAAAAAAAACCTTCAGACTTTATGACTAGATTGTAAGCTCCAAGGAGGAGGGCCCTCCTATCCCTCTTGTATTGAACTGTATTGTTGCTGTATTGTCTCCCGTTATATTGTAAAGCGCTGAGCAAACCGTTGGCACTATATAAATCTGTATAATAATAATAATAATTAAATCTGCTCACACCCCCTCCTAACTCCTATTCTAACAACCTTGTGGAAGAAAGATGCATATACTTACCTATTCTCAGATGCCCCATAGTAAGCCTTTTGGGTGACATTACCTCCCAGGCATTACCAGCCATTGTCGGTGCTCTCTCCTGTCTCCTGAAGCTGGCTGCTGGGGAGATCATGTGACCAGACCAGAGTGCCCTGAGAATAGATAAGTTCAACCATCTCTTCCTTCTACAGGGTGGTTAGAATAGGAGTTAGAAGGGGGGTGGGAGCAAATCAAAGAGTAGATAGTTAAAGCCCGGAATTCCACTTTAATGTTGTGTATGACCCCCCCCCCCCCCCCCCATTGCACAATTTTTTTCCACTTTCTCTCTAGGGGAAATACTGTGGACAGAAAGTGAAAGGACTCTCTACTGGGCACAGAGGGAGTGGGAAAACTTCAACAGGTTAAGCTGGCTATAGATGGTTTGATTCTCAGCCAGTTCACCAGGGACCAGTCGAGATTCAATCCATCTATGGGCAGGCTGGAAGTTCTGAAGTCTATCCATCGAATGACTTGGGTTGAATCAGCCTGTCAGATTTTTTGCATGTGATTACTGCTGGTGGCTATAGCCACTTATAGTAATCATTGTGTTCCACCTGAAGGCAGAACACAATAGCTCCACAGGAGGGATTCCCCCATCACCATTGACTGCGTTGATGTGTGAATCAAGCAATTTCCTTTCCTTTCAATTGTGTTGGAAGGAAAGAAAATTGAATTATCTATGGCCTGCCTTAAAACCCTCCCAAGTCCTATTGAAAACCAATAGTTGTAGCTGGATTTAAGGATAAGTCTAGGCAAACAACTTATTCTGCGCTTATAGAGGAACTATGGCTCTTAAAGTACATCTCCTGTAAAAATTGAAAATCATTATATTAATTCCTACATTGAATTTCATCTCTTTCTAGCCTACTCCTACTAATCTAAATGATCTTGATGTTTGTAAATTTACTTTATGAAGATCCCACACATTTACTTCCTTGAATTCTGTGACACAGATTCACTATACCTTGTGGAGTAGGCAGTGCTGTGTCACACTTTTCACAGAGCCTGCCTTCTGAACTGCAGAAGGTCTGAGAGAAGGAGTTTCAGGAGATGAAGTCAGTACAGGAATCAATGCTTGCAGGCAGTAATGTACCATGGGATATGTAGTCCTTAGAAATCACAACAGCAAAGGACACACTGCAGAGCAGGCAGGGAATCCAGGAAGTTGTGGAAATAGATGGCAGCAGAAAGGCAGCGTTCACAACAAAGGAGATTTTTCAAGTAAGCTTATACTGAAATGTCAAAAATAACTATTGTTTGTATTGGTATTACAATGCTGATGTTATAAAATGAAAGTGTATGCTGTTACTATAGTCCTACTTTTTCAAAATAAAAAATGCACCCATATTTTCAGGAAATAATATTCATTTATTGTTTTTTTTTTTGTGGGAGATTGCCAAACATTGCAATCGTATTCAGTGCATTGTGGATGCAATGCTTAGGCTCCTGCATACTTTCTGTAGCTGCTGGTCCATTCCAAAGTATGGACTTTTGGTTAAAGAGCTGCAGGAAATGTCAATGGGCTACAAGTGCAGTGATCCACTGATGACTACAAGTATTTCTGCCATGGAGGTAGATGGGATTTGTAGTTCCTCCTTTTAAAAATCTCTGTGACGGGAGTAGAGCCATCCACAGCCCTGCAAAGTTCAAAAAGTGACAGGAGCCGCTGGGGAGACTAACTCCACAATCCTGCTGGGAATGGAAGGAAAGGGGTTGGGGCTCTGCTTGGCACCGTGTTACATGTTAAACCCTAAATAACACAGCGAGAGAATAGGAGTTAGTCTTTAAGTTGTCAAATGATAGGGATCTCTGATGAAAACTATAGTTCTTTTTATTGGCGTTCATACCTATATATTGGTGGTTCAGCATGAATATCCAAGGGCACAAGTGAGCAAAGCTAGAAATACAGGTACCAAGATGAAGACCATTAAAGCTCCCGACTCTTACCTTTTCTGGATTGCAGAGATCCGCTCCTGAACGCGGTCAGCAAACACATTTCCAAGTCGTATCAAGCTTTCGCCAGCTTCCACTGCTATTGTAACCTTCTGTGTGTTCATCTCCATGGTGGTCAGGAAATCTTTGTGCTTCTTGATGGCATTCTCCACCCCTTGTACAGTGTTGGGCAACTCAACATGAGCCAGGGCTGACTCCTGTAAAAACAAAGATAATAGGTATAATCACTATAAACTTAATATTGCATATATTTCCTGCAGTCAGAGCCAGGGGCGGACTGACCATTTGGAAACTCGGGCACTGCCCGAGGGCCCGGGGTCAGTAGGGGGCCCATGAGATGCCCCTGGTACCTTTTTTCATAGGCTTTTTTGAGTTTGGGCAAGGACACAGGGGCCCCATGATCCCCTATTGCCCGGGGGTCCCATGAGTTGTCAGTCCGCCCCAGTCAGAGCTATTTGGAATGAAATATGCGTTTGAATGCAATTAACACAAGTGCACACAAGTTTTGTGTGCACAAAAAAAAAAATTAAAAAAAGACAACAAATCAGCGATCCTCTCCATACAAGGTTATTCTCACACTCTGTGGTTTGTCTGGTATCTTCTTTTCTTTTTAACCTGGCTGCCTTACAAAGGACAGCTGGTAATATAGGCGAATTGCAATACATACAGATGTCCATCAGATGTCACTGTCAAGCAGGCACAGACTACCTACATCATACACAGCTTGTATAACGTGAAAATGCCAATAATGTCCCGCTGGCAACAAAAGAGAGTACACCCCTAGGGAAAATGTCCCCCAATTAGCCATTTTCCCTCTCTGGTGTCATGTGACTCGTTAGTGTTAGTGTACAAGGTCTCAGGGGAGCAGGTGTGTTAAATTTGGTGTTATCGCTCTCACTCTCTCATACTGGTCACTGGAAGTTCAATATGGCACCTCATGGCAAAGAACTCTCTGAGGATCTGAAAAAAAGAATTGTTGCTCTACATAAAGATGGCCTAGGCTATAAGAAGATTGCCAAGATCCTGAAACTGAGCTGCAGCACGGTGGCCAAGACCATACAGCAGTTTAACAGGACAGGTTCCACTCAGAACAGGCCTCGCCATGGTCGACCAAAGAAGTTGAGTGCACGTGCTCAGCATCATATCCAGAGGTTATCATTGGGAAACAGATGTAAGAGTTTGCTGAAGACAAGCAGACTAAGGACATGGATTACTGGAACCATGTCCTGTGGTCTGATGACACCAAGATAAACGGATTTGGTTCAGATGGTGTCAAGTGTGTGTGACGGCAACCAGGTGAGGAGTACAAAGACGAGTGTGTCTTGCCTACAGTAAAGCATGGTGGTGGGAGTGTCATGGCCTGGGGCTGCATGACTGCTGCTGGCACTGGGGAGCTACAGTTCATTGAGGGAACCATGAATGCCAACATGTACTGTGACATACTGAAGCACAGCATGATCCCCTCCCTTCGGACACTGGGCCGCCGGGGCAGTATTCCAACATGATAATGACTCCAAACACACCTCCAAGACGACCACTGCCTTGTTAAAGAAGCTGGGGGTAAAGGTGATGGACTGGTCAAGCATGTCTCCAGACCTAAACCCTATTGAGCATCTTTTGGGGCATCCTAAAACGGAAGGTGGAGGAGCGCAAGGTTTCTAACATCCACCAGCTCTGTGATGTCGTCATGGAGGAGTTGAAGAGGACTCAAGTGACAACCTGACAACCTGTTTTACAGGTGGAGGCCACTGACATTTTTTCCCTACTCATCTTTTCTGACTGTTTTTCACTAGTTTTGCATTTGGCTAGGGGCAGTGTCACTACTGGTAGCATGAGGAGATACCTGGACCCTACAGAGGTTGCACAGGCAGTCTAACTCCTCCAGGATGCCACATCAATAAATGCCATCGCCAGAAGGTTTGCTGTGTCTCCCAGTACAGTCTCAAGATCATGGAGGTGATTCCAGGAGACAGGCAGTTACTCTAGGAGAGCTAGACAGGGCCATAGAAGGCCCTTAACCCATCAGCAGGACTGATATCTGCTCCTTTGTGCAAGGAGGAACAGGGGTGAGCACTGCCAGAGTCCTACAAAATGACCTCCAGCAGGCCACTGGTGTGAATGTCTCAGAACAAACAATCAGAAACAAACTTCATGAGCGTGGCCTGAAGTCCCAATGTCCTCTAGTGGGCCCGACGTCCTCTAGTGGGCCCTGTGCTTACTGCATGGCACCATAGAGCTTCATTGCCATTTGCCATTGAACACCAGAATTGGCAGGTCCACCACTGGCGCCCTGTGCTTTTCACAGATGAGAGCAGGTTCACCCTGAGCACATGTGACAGACATGAAATGGTCTGGAAAAGCCGTGGAGAACATTATGCTGCCTGTAACATAGGTCAGCATGACAATTTTGGTGGTGGGTCAGTGATGGTCTGGGGAGGCATATCCATGGAGGGATGCACAGATCTCTACAAGCTAAACAATGGCACCCTGACTGCCATAAGGTATTGGGATGAAATCCTTGGACCCATTGTCAGCCCCTACGCTGGTGCAGTGGGTCTGGGGTTCCTCCTGGTGCACGACAATGCCTCATGTGGCAAAAGTATGCAGGTAGTTCCTGGAGGATAAAGGAACTGAAACCACTGCATGGCCCCCACGCTCACCTGACCTAAATCCAATAGAACACCTCTGAGATATCATGTTTCGGTCCATCTAACGCCGCCAGGTTGCACCTCAGACTGTCCAGGAGCTCATTGATGCCCTGGTCCAGATCTGGGAGGAAATACCCCAGGACACCATCTCATCTCATTAGGAGCATGCCCCGACGTTGTCAGGCATGTATACAAGCACGTGGGGGCCAAACAAACTACTGAGTACCATTCTGAGTTGCTGCAATGAAATTGCAGCAAAATGGACTCGCCTGCTGTATCATTTTTTCATTTGATTTTCGGGGTGTCTTTGAATTCAGTCCTCTGTAGTTTGATCATTTCCATCAAATGATGGGGCATCCTTACATTTCTAACACATTACCCCGTCCATATCAGTATAGATATCCAGCAGGAGATTTTTCCCCATTGAGATCTGATGTGTTTTCAAAGTGTTCCTTTTTTTTTTTGAGCAGTGTATAATTGAGAAAATGTACCGTTTGCATTAACCATTGTGAGCTGCTTAGTAGTCTGGTTTCATAATCTATGAAGATCATCCAGCATTCACATAGATAGATCTGCCCAACTGGCATTCACTAATTTAATATTGGCAAATACAATTATTTATAGTGGGTTATTTATTCACTGGAATTAAAATCAAATTAAAGATCATAAGCTCTAATTCTCATTCGCTGTGTGTTCAGTCCTTACTCCCTTTCACCTTCTATTGCTTCAGTATTCACCAAGTTATGCATACCAGATTTATGGCAGTCATGCTAGTTTACCTAGATACATTGCACATTTAACATTGGGCTTTGTTTAGACTTGTGGTTGGGGGGGTGACAAAGATATGCGGTTGAACCGAGTTTTTGCCACCTGCCAATTGCCCCTCCTTAAGCTGCAATAGGCAGCTGATGGGCATTTTTACATGCTGGCCATGATGCTTCACTACACAGTCAAGCAATTTGGGAAGCGCTGCAAACACCTCGCAACTGCGTGCAATGCATGCAGTTGAGGCACAATTGTCAAATGCAGTTAAGTAGGCATCATTTCCTCACTGCCTGTCAGTAGCCTCTGAAGCGCGATCCAAACACGGATCAAGTTTAAGAGGAAAGGTGATTTAGGCTTCATTCAGACTTGTGGTTGGGGGGGCAGTGATTGAGGGGGGAGTGATTGAGCCATGTTTCTGCTGCCTGCTAACCACACCCTCCCTCCCCCACCTTAAGCTGCAATAGGTAGATGAAGGGGGTGTGTACATGCTGCGGCCACAATGCTTTGCGTGTGCGGCAAAGGTTAACCCAGCATGTAACACTAGACAGTCAAGCAAATAGAGAAGTGCCCCTAATGCCCCGCAAACTCATGCAGTTGCAGCGTCATTGTCAGCACAAATGAGGTTAAAACAGCCAAGAAGGAGGAATCACATCCTTTACTCAATGCCTGTCAGTAGCCTCTGAAGCTTGGGGTTCAGAGGAAAGAAAGATTTAGACACACGTATAAATCTACCCATAGTCTATAACACACCTTGTCCTTTTACAACCACAACTGATATATTTAACAATAGTGTTGCCTCACCTGGTTGTTCAAGCAGGCCTCAGCCTGTTTAACATCTCTTAAAAACAGATGGAAGATGTGAGACTGTACAAGGACCTCCCTTCTGTTCTCCCACATCTGGAGAAGCTTGTTCCATCCAACTTCCAGCTTCTGCAGCCACTGCTGGAGAGAAAGATATGGAAGGTCAGCCTCTTCTAAGCTCAGAAGGTCACTGACAGCTTGGATCTTGTTGTAGTCCTCCTCATATCTATTGATCTCCTCTTTAAGGGAAGCATGAAGCCCTAGCAATCTCTCAGCCTCGGGCAGGTTGGAAGGCAACTCCTCTGTGGCCACTGCAGTTTGCGTCTTAACCAACCAGGTCAGGAAGTTGTCCAGGTCTTGTATAAACTGCTGCAACTTGCTGGCCACCGTTAGAGAGTCCTCACATCCTTGGAGAGTCCTCTTCAGAGCTTCCCACTCTCTGCTAATTTCCTCAAAGTGTACCAACACCTCCATGGCCTGAGATGGGTGGCACGTGGCGAGAACTTCAGCATCTTGCTGCAGCTGGACCAGCTTGGGTTCTAAAGCCACCAATGCTGCCTCCATGGTCGAAAGTTTCCTCTGCAAGGCCAGCACTCCACCCAACTCTCCACTGCCACACTGGCTGGTCTCCATAGCTTTCCTCTTTTCGCGAATCTGAGACTTCACTTCATTGCACTCTAGGAAATAATTCTGCAGGCGAAGCACAGAAGTGAGCTGTTCTTTCCTCTGCTCCACTAATTCCACAATTCGGTTCCACCTGATAAGAGACAACAGTTGTTTTGAAAGTCTAAACAAGTGAAAAAATAACAAAAAAAAACTACTGACAACAGCATATGTACAGAACTCATTTTTTTCCTTCTTCAGACAATAAGACCTACAGGACAATGAGAACTACACCGGAGACTGGGAGCAAGATTATAAAATACTATTTCTGTCAGGCGGGTATGGAATTAATTCTGGGAACTTACAGCGGCTGCAACTTCATTGTTTAAATGTGACTAGTACTAGAATCTGCAAAAAAAGAGAATCAAAGCGCTGGGTGCTGTGCTTCAATTGTTTTTATGATCCTGCATACATTTTGCTGGACACGAGAGGAGGTACAGTATCCTCTACTTTACTCAGCCCAAGAATTAAAGTAAATCTGGCATTGTCCTAAAAAATGTAAACAATGCTACAGAACAGCAGGTACCTAAAATTACCTGCAAGTACCTACTTAAGTTGTGAAATCCTAGGCTCAGCCTTTATAGTGGGCTTCAACTTCTTGTTATTTTATTCAAAATACAATTAAGCTTTTATTATTTCACTGCATTAGATTATCAGTGAAAGTCCTCTACTGATAGATTTTGTGTTAGAGGTGCGACATATAGTTTGACTTGTGTCCAGGGAGCAAAGTAGACAAATATGCTCCTACCCAAAATAAATACCTCTCATCTCAGGATACACTGTGCAAAAAAGAGATGAACGCAGGGGCAGACTGACAACTCATGGGGCCCCCGGGCTATAGGGGATCATGGGGCCCCTGTGTCCTTGCCCAAACACAAAAAAGCCTATGAAAAAGGTACCAGGGGCATCTCATGGGGTCCCCTACTGACCCCGGGCCCTCGGGCAGTGCCCGAGTTTCCAAATGGTCAGTCCGCCCCTGGATGAACGTCTGCACTTTAGCCACTTACCATCCATGTAATATTGCTCACCCCTTTGACATCGTGCTGGTGCACGAAACGCGTCAGAGGAGCCCAACGGTGTGACGGCATGCCGCATACGGCCGAGAGGAAAGCCGGCGGCCATCTTTATTCTACTATTTTATGATCACATGTGAGTCTGTTACTTTTACCTGGATCTTTTTTAGCCTTCAAATTAATAAACATACTACACTATTAGCACAATTTTGTTCTCTGGCTTGGTCATTACGAGCCCTATAAGGTGGAGCCATCTTGGGATTTGGAGCCATTACTTGGAGCTGTTTCTGATGGGTATGTGAGCGGAGTGGGACCCCTGTGTGTGAGCAACATCATCCTGAGTGTCTACTTCTGAGCCTGATGACCCCACAGCCCTAGACCAGACCTAGATGACCCTATTACAGGATATACATATAATGCATATAATGCTTTTGGTAAGTGCATAATCTTACTGGCTCTTGGCACCTACAATTACCAGCATGGAGCACGGATCACCCCGTTTCATGGACTGCTATATTTCTAGATTGGACTTATCACTATTGTCACCATATTTGGCTTGTATTGAATTAACGCGTCACTTTAAGACGCAACCATCACTCCACTATTCCTGCGCCACCAGTAGTGCTCACATAATTTTACATTATTTTATTATCATTGGTTATCTTATGTTCTTCAGCGCTGCATATTTATTTCTTTTGATTGCTCACCTGCTGTTTAGGTGATCCTGACAGGCTCGGACCTCAGAGGAACTAGGATGTCCCCCCTCCAGCAGTTGCTGCACTATCTGATTAACATCCAATACCCGACCCATTAGACTGTTCATTTCCTGGTCCAGACTTTCAAACCTAAAATTCAGAAAACAGAATCTTGGTTACAAAATGACAATTCTTGTTTGTATTCCCCTACACTTTCAAATTCAGTGGAAGAGAAGAAATAACTAGCCAAATTTGAAATATCATAGAATACATTTGGAAAGGTCGGTAGTTTTTAACGAAATAGATGAGTACTTAAAGGATAAGTTCACCTTTTGGACAAAAATAATAAATGCACATTTTTTTGCAGGTAAAAAGGAGCCTGGAAAGCATTGCACCAGCAATCAGTAGATCGCTGGTGCCATACAGGTCTCCTGCAGACCTGTCAGAATATCTGCATCCCGATGTACGGAATGTACGGCCAAGCAGATATTCTGACAGGAAGCTTCAATGAACTACCACGACGCTACACAGCGGCGTGGTAGTTCATTAAAAACTACAAGCCCACACCGCTAATGCTGTAGAGAATTGCAGTTCATTAATTCACAGAAGTCCATAAATGAATGGTGTGGGTGGAGCCCCGCACAGTCGTGCTGTTTTTAAATTTGACAGATAGTATGAGGAGGGGTCGGGCGGCGGGTACAGCTCCAACTATGGGAACATGTTACATGTTCCACCTCAAAAACGGGTGGAACATGTAACATGTTCCCAAAGGTGAACTTATCCTTTAAATGAAAGACTAATGAGCAATTTTGATGTCTCACATTATTGTTATTAAAAGTGATTGTAAAAGCTATTTTTTTTAAAATAACAAACAGGTTTATACTTACCTGCTCTGTGCACTTTTTTTGCACAGAGCAGCCATGATCCTCTTTTCTCAGGTCCCCTGCCAGCGCTCCTGGCTCCTCCTCTTCTCTGTATGTCACCATAGGAAGCCGCTTCCTATTGTGGCACACCTGCGGGCTCAGTCCCATGCTGCACTGAATGTGTCTGTAGAAACTTAGACAGTGAGGCTCAGCCCCACCCCCATTCTCTTCTCATAGGCTATGATTGACAGCAGCAGGAACCAGTGGCTCCCGCTGCTGTCTCTGAGCAAGTGAGGAGAGACAGCATTAAGGGATTGCTGGGGGGAGAAAAACAAGAAAGATTTTTTTACCTTAATGCAAAGAACGCACCATAAAATGGCGGCAAACTACAATACCCTAAATTGTCAACAGGCTACACTTTAGAGCTTTACAGCTCTTCAATTTAGAGTTCATCATAAAAGAAGGCCTTGGAATTCTTTATCTTACTCTGGAGTGCAGTGGAATACCTAATATATGCATTGGCATCCTTTAACCTCCCTAGCGGTCTGATTATGTCCATATTTCTGTGCTCAAAGCGGTACATTTTTTTGCATGGAAATATGTATTTTTTTTATTGTAGGCCTGTAATTTTTAGGAATAACTCACTGAAATCTGTCCGATCAAGAGTCTAGTAAACATCCCGGGTATGTTACAATTTGAAACACGACATCATAAATTATAATTTAATAAATAATCATAAAAAAATAATAATATAATAATAATAAATATAATTCAATAATGTAATCTTTGAAATATAGCGCCAAGTTCGCACATCGCTGAGCAAAGTCGCAGAATCGTTTTCAGAGTCTGATGATGAATTTCCCCCACGAATCATTATCACTCAATTCTGCAAGTGATTCTGATTTACTATCACTGTTCTCTAGCCGGTCTAAAACCGCTTTTGACCTAAAGGGACGCTTTTTGGACGCCATGGACTTTTCTCAGTTTCCAGGCAGAAAGAACAGTAAAAATGCAGACAGGGGACAGGACAGAGCACTAGGGACAAAATGTATGTGAAATGGTTTGATATAGTAAAGTTTTACTATGTTATTTTAGTGTATTTAGTGAATGTCACTTTTTCTCATTTTCAAATTTCCCGCCGCTCCGTCCCCGTCTGTCCTGATGTCGCAGGGGATGGAACCCAGAAGACAAATGCTGGCATCCGCCGGAGGACATTACAGGGGACAATGCAGGAGGGACATCGCGGGAGCGAAGGACAAGGTAAGAGAAGAACAGATCCCGGAGCAGCGCCCGCATGGTAAGCCCGAGTGTAGCTCAGGGTTACCGCTTGTGGTGCTGAAACTTTACCCCGAGCTACACTCGGGAATACCGCCAGGGAGGTTAAATAGGTTTTTTTTAATAATATGTACTGTATTAAAACTACAAAGAGGAAGGAGACACACCATGTCACCCTGCAGAAGTGATACAGTGGTCTTACAGCTACCCAGAGCAGAGCTAGCTAGCATTTTGTGATTGGAGCCATGAGCTTGTTTACATCCTGCTACCGCTGTGGTGAAGTACTTTCAGAGGCGATAGCAAAGGGATTAAATGAAGAACAGTGGCTGCCAATGTTGACCTGTTAAAAATGCTAGCTGCTTGTTACCCAAATTAAGCACCCAGATCAGGGGAGCTCAGGATTCATAATCTGTATACTTATAAACATCATGGGGGTTATTTACTAAAACTACATGGTAGTAAATCTGGTGCAGCTCTGCATAGAAACCAATCAGCTTTCAGGTTTTATTGTCAAAGCTTAACTGAAGAAGCTGAAGTTAGAAGTTGATTGGCTACCATGCACAGCTGCACCAAATTCTGAGTTCCCCAGTTTTAGTAAACCTCCCCCATAGAATACTGAAGCCACCTTATCAGCATGCCCTTAAGGCAATTTATATTTTCTCTTGACTATTAACTTGCCTGTGCTGAACCACCTCAACATCCTCCAGTCTCTGTGGGATCTCCATCTTCATCAACCACTGTTCCTTCTCATCGATCCACACTTCACAGGAATTTACTTCACCAAACATTTTATAAACATCTAAAGCATCCTGAAGCCACTGACTTCTCAAGGAGGCAACTTCCACCACCTCTCCAAAGAGCTGCTCCAACTCCACAATGCTAATCTGTACATCCACCTGGTTTCGGTACTCAGTACCCAGTTCAGATAACAGTTTCCTCAATCCGAGCACAGTAGCTCTGTGTTTTTCTATTTCCTCTGAGGCTGCACGATGCTTTTTGACCAAAGACTGTGTGGAATACTCATCATGCCCAAAGTCATCACTGGACACCAAGCGATAGCTATCCTGCAGCCAACCAGCAAGCTCCATAGTGTCCGCGTTAAACTGGTGGAAGTTGGAAGCCTCCTGAAGCTTTAACTGGTGGGAATTTGCTGCTTTCTCAAGGTTCTCCCATTTCTGTTTTACTTCTTGCATTCGCTGGCGAAGTCCAGCCATTCCTCTCCTTCTCTTACTTAGCACCTTAAAGGAAAAAGATAGAGATTTTTCAAAGTATCTAAAACAAAAACTGCAGGTGTTGCCCCTTAGCAATCTGCAAAATAGTACTTTTCATTATTTGAGGAGGAACAAAACTGCATGAAAAACTGAGGCCCCCAGGAGATCTTGCCATAATATGGAACTATGCTTAAGTATTTTCACATCATGGCACACTTACCATCCAAAGCACCCTAGTCCAGCGATGCAATGTCTGTGCTCCATCTCACTGCTTCTCCATCAGTTTCCATCTTCTTCCAGCCGAGAGAGGTTACCATAACTCTCACACATGCATATGGAGTTTCTTAGTGCCAGCACCCAAGACATGCAGAGACTGTATACTTAGCTATGCATGTATACCTGTTCTAATGACTGTCAAAAACACTGTGGAGCAATCTTCTCCTACTTTCTGCTGTATGTCTAATACAAAAAGCGAAGCACAATCTCACCGAAAAAAAGACATTCCCTTAATCTTCAGTTTTCCGTATAATTTAAATATGGATATTCTTGCATCAGACACAACACATTTACAAAAATATCCTTTGCTGATTAAGAGCTATTCTAATACAGCATCACTTATAATTATATTGGGATGATCAAAACATTTTCTAGGTATCAGTATTAAAATATGTGACTTACCTGCTCCCCCTTTTGAAGGGTCTGCTGTAGCATGGCGTGCCTCCCTCCGAGCTCACCCACAAAAATCTTGTGTTTGCTTAAGAGACGTAGGACACTGCTCAGATCCTTCCCATAGCTTTGTGGAGCAGACAGAATCTGTTCTTTCTCTCGAATCCAACCCTCAGCCTCCTCTACCTCCTGCAAGAAACACCAAAAAGACGCTTGGATTCCTCCAGCTCTCCCCGGCGTTTCTCTGCCAGTTGGCGAAGACCTTCTAAACAGCTCTTGACGTGCTCGACTCGGTTGCAGATGATCTGAGGGTCACATGGCTGGTAATCTGTGCAGCATTAAGTCATAATAATTCTGATATCAGTTTACACAGTAGATGTTTCCACTTCAAACTTTCTGCCAAAAAGATTTTTGCTAGTAAAATCATGAATCAATTCTAGTGAAGTACTGTACACACATCATGGCCAAAGACAGACAGATCATCAATTAGAAACTATAGAGATCTGCCTGACCTAGAATTACTCATTGTGTATTCTGGCAGCCATGGAATGTGGTCAGTTTGGAAGTAGCATAAGAGTCAAAGTTGTTCAGATAATTTCTCCACACTGCCATTTTGAACACTCCCATCATGAAATATACATAAATAAAAAACAAAAAAAAATCCTAAAAGAAATTGTAGTACAAGGTGGTACAGAAGCTCAGCTTTGCTGCATAAAATTACCATCCATCCCTGACCAGTGCTAGTGCTGTGGTGCCCCGATTGGCACTCTCCTTCACATGTGGTAGACTTACTCTTTCATACGACCCTACTGGCATTCTATCTTCCAGCTCGGTCACCTTATTACTGACAGAACCTGCCCTGACACCACAAAGGTTGCCTTTCTATAGATTATTCCTAGGTCGATTGTTAAGACTATTGCTTCGAGTCCTATTGTCAGCTGCTCGCACGTATATTCCCGGACATTGGAAGTCAACTCGCCTCCCACTGTCAGAGAATGGGTGGTGGAGTTAACTCATATCATGAGAATGGAAGAGTCGGTTGCCTGTCTCCAATAATATCGCTTGATATGCATGGAGTTATGGCACACTTGGATCGATTTCTCGACTTCTCCTATACTGTAACCTTTCTTGTAATCACAGTTAGGGATCTCCAAACACAGCATTCCGAAGTGATCAATCAATTAGATGGCGGGTCGCCCCCTTCTCTTCTTCCTCTTTTCTATCTTTTCTGATTTCTGTTTTGTGTGGTTTCCAATTTTCGGCTCAGCTTTATTTTTTTCACAAAAATAAGCTTTATTATGGTGGTATTTGATCACCATTTTTTATTATATAAGCGGAAAAAGACTGTAAAATTTCCCAAAAAAAAATTTTTTTACTTTTTGCTATAACATGTATTCAATAGAAACATTTAACTAAAATTTCTTCATAAATGTAGGCTAGAATGTATTCTGCTACAAGTCTTTGGTAAAAAAAATCCCAATAAGTGTATATTGATTGGTTTGTGTCAAAGTTATAGCATCTACAAATATGGTATATATCAGGTTCCCGCCCGGCCTATAGCCAGATGGCGGCCTGCAAAGCTCCTCGTCCCTCGGGTGGACGCCATATGGCGTCCTTTCAGGCATGCGCAGTTTGCATGCACGCAGAGCCGCGAGCGGGCGATCTGTCACCAGCCATGTACCTCGGACACGACCAATGACAGATCTAAGTACCGGCCCCGTTGCCAGTACCATGTGACCTGCTGTGACCATTCACAGCAGGTCAAATGACAGTTGTATACAATGGCTGGCTTCCTTTCATGCCATCCATTGTATACTAGTGTGTCTAGCTGTGAATGGTCACAGAGATCACATGCACAAGCTGGGCCAATTACAGCCCAGCTGTGTCATGTGATTAGCCGTCGCCAAATCACAGCTAAGCACAAAAAAAAAACCCTGAATAAATCGATGTCATTCAGGTAAATGCTTGCTTATAGCAAAGTAATTCTTTGCTATAAGCAAATTGTGTAAAAAAAAAAAATACTAATCACTTCCCCAAAGTAGTACAATGTAACTATGGCAACATTGTACTACTTTGGTCATAGTGAAATATGAAAAAAAAAATCTTAAAAAAAGAAAAAAAATTTAATAAAAAATTTAAAACAAATACAAAAATGAATTTTTTTTTTTTTTAAATTATAATTTTTTTTTTTCATACTGTCACCAGTCAGTGTCCCTGATCACCGCCATGCCAGTTATATGATGATGCTGTACTACACTGGTATGTAAAAAAAAAATAGCGAAAATCATTTTTCATTTTCCGAAAAATTATGACAAAAAAATTACGACTTCAAAAAACTCGCCATGCCTCTTTTGAAATACGTCGGACTGTCTACTTTGCAAAAAGTGGTCATTTGGGGGATATCTGTACTGTTCTGACATTCTTGGACCTCAAGAAATTAGATTGGCTGCCAGTACTTCAGGATTGATCAATATTCAGATCTATACCATAGTTTGTGAACTCTATAACTTTCCTACAAACTAAATAATAAATACTAATTTGGGTTATTTTCACCAAAGACATGTAGTAGAATACATCTCGGCCTAAATTTATGAAGAACAATTATTTATTTGCAAACTTTTATAACAGAAACAAAGAAAAACTTGTTTTTTTTTTTAATTTTCAGTCTTTTTTTGTTAATTTAGCAAAAAATAAAAACCCCAGTGTTGATTAAATACCACCAAAAGAAAGCTCTAGTTGTGTGAAGAAAATTATAAAATTTTAGTTTGGGTACAATGTTGTATGACCCGCGCAATTGTCATTCAAAATGTGAGAGCACTGAAACCTGAAAAATGGCATGGGCAGGAAGGGGGTAAAAGTGCCCGGTATGGAAGCGGATATACTGGACGTTTTATTTATTTACCTTTTATACTAGTAATCAACAACCTATAAGGCCTGTTCACATCTGTGTGGGTGGTGCAGCTGCGGGACCTGCGCAAATACCTGCAGCTGCACCACCCGCACAGGGGAATGTGGGACCCGCAGGCGGATGCCATTAAGTTTAATGGCACGCCACCCGCACTGGAAATCGCAACAGTACTGGGAACAGAGGTTCCCGTGCTGGCTGCAATTTCCGAAGAAGTGCAGGGACTTCTTCTTTGCGTGTCCTGGGGCACGGGAGTCAGTTCAAATGAATGGGCTCTCGTGCCCGTGCGGCCGCACATATGTGAACCTGGCCTAAAGGGACTGTGATAGTGCGGTGGGCATTCTGATGCGAACTGACACTTTGTGGATACTGATTTACTGCCACTAACATCACCAGTGACAGTAGTACAGCAGTCAGTGCTAATGCTATACACAGTCACTGTACTAATGACAGTGGCTGGTGAGGGGTTAAAATCTAGGGGCAGCCAAAGGGTTAACTGGGTGCCTAACAATGTTTACTGTTTCTAAAGTGTGCTGATTTCTTTTATAATGGTGTTTCAGCTGGGCTTTTTTTTGCCCACAGTGCAAGTTAGAATGACAGCAACAAATCAATAAAGATATCTAGAAAATTATGCCTTTCAAAATTGCCTGCTGCAAAAGCCTCATATCAATAATGCACAGTTTGGCGGGTCTGTGACCCACATATAACACCCCGATGCATGAATCCTAGGATTCAGCAAGTATTTTAATTGCAAAATTTGACTTGTTGCTTTGTTTGGGTTGCACACGGCACTGGTGTCTTTCTCTTGTTCTGTGCATTGACATTGGAATTCTGTGTCTTGTAATGTCTTAAAAACCTCAATAAACATTCTTTAACCACTTTTTACCCCCTTCCTGTCCAGGCCAATTACCAGCTTTCAGTGCTATCACACTTTGAATGACAAATGCACGGTCATGCAACACTGTACCCATATGAATTTTTTTAGCATTTTTTTGAGACAGATAAAGCTGTATTTTGGTGGTGTCTATTCACCGCTGGGATTTTTATTTTGTTTCGCTATGTAAATGAAAAAGTCCAAAAATTTTGAAAAAAAGTGTTTTCTTATAAAATTTTGCAAATAAAACATATTTCATCATAAATCTTGCCAAAATTTATTCCGTTATCTTTTTAGCAAAAAAAAATAACCCAAATTAGTTTATAACCAAAAATTATAATTTTTAAACTTTTTTGTTTACATTTTTATTTTATTTTTTTATATTATTATTTATGGATTTTTATTTTTTTTTTAACACACTGTCACCCTAGCAGTATAGTGTCACCACCATGGTGACACTGTACTACTTGTGGGGGGTGATGAAGATTTTTTTTTTACACTGATTGCTTTTACACCAATAAAGGCTGTAAAAGCAATCAGTTCTCCTTCTCTCTCTTTTATTTTATTTTTTTATATTATTTTTTTTTTTTTTTTTTAACATACTATGACCCTAGCAGCACACAGATTGCTTTTACACCCATGAAGGCTGTAAAATCATTTCTCCTTCTCTCTGGCTGCATTCTTGTAGCCATTGAGAAATACTGTGTGAGCTGTGATTGGTCACAGCTTGTCACATGGTACAAGGCTGTTGTGAATAGCCTTGTACCATGTGATCTGTGATCATTCACAGATTTCACACGTAGTAAGCAACGATGTCAGAAGTGATATCTTGCTTACTACTCTGCATGTGATCATTGGCCAATCAGTGATCACCTGATCGGGACCTCGCACAAAGGTCCCGTCTGACGATCGGTGTTCCACTGTGTCCGGAGGACACAGCGGGCACTGGATCGCGGTGCTGCGCGCTCCCAGGGAGCGCGCACAAGCAGGGGGCGGGGAGGCCGTTTATAAAGATCACCCAACCCTGCACTGCCACCGTCTGGCCGTTTATATACAAAGTTTATATACAACGGCCGGACGAGAGGTGGTTAAAAAAAAAATTCTAGTACATGTGTTAGCCCATTCAGGGCTAAGCCTCACCCATCCATCTCATCCTTCGTCCAAAGAGACCAACCTTACCAACCACTGACGTACTCTCTTACTGGACAGAGGGTGACATAGTGGGTAGGGCTTAGTTCCAAAATTAGGTATGTCAAGCCCTAAGTGAACCCTTACCTTACCTTGCGGTGCCTGCTCTCAGATATCACGCACTATGCGTATACAACTGTATTCAACATAACTGTAGATCATTTCTCTATAAAGTTAGTCCACAGAATTGGCTTATGCTGTTGTCTTGCTGGATTTACCTGAAAACTCAGTGAATTTTAGGGCTGACTGGTTTAAGGAGTGGACTCTTTCAGTTTGGGCAGCAATGTCAGCCTCTAGCAAGCTGTGTTTTTGCAGCAAATCTTCTACTTCCAAAAGATGCTTTCCAAAATCTTTAGATGACAAGGGAACCTGTGAAATACAAACATGATAGGTTATGGAGCAACAATGACGCACAAAATGGTGAAACTCAAAGTCCAAAGCAAAAAAGGGGGAGGCCCCTCATGGCAAAGTGGGCAATAAGTTGTGGGATTTTGGTTGCACCAGATGGAACCAATTCCACAATAATATCTTACAAGCAGTCTTTATTTACTGCAATTTAAAATCATCATGCATCAAATCCACATATAACATGTGCATTAACCAGGAATACAGCTGAGACGTACACTCACTCAATTGTTCAATTGCTTGGTAACACAATTTGCTAATCAGCCAATCACATTGCAGCAACTCAATGCATTTAGGCATCTAAATGTGGTAAAGATGACTTGCTGAAGTTCAAACTGAGCATCAGAATGGGGAAAAAAGGGGATTCAAAGTGTTACTAAAACCAAGACCCTGCATTCATTCTATCTGGTCTCCCACAGTACACGAACATGGAAATGCAATTATTTTAGTAAATATAAACTGCTAAATACCCTTTCTCATCAGCAGTTAGAGCAGACTTGTGACTTCTATCAGTGTCCAGCAGAGCACTGGTTGAAACTTGTAGGAGGAGTTTTCATTCTGCTCTAGGAGGATGCAAAACCCCTGACCTCTGTCTGGACAGTGCTGATTGGCCCTGTGCTGATCACATGCACTCTCCCAAGAAAAACAGAAAAATGTCTCTAGCAATACACACTAAACTGAGCATGTACAGAGTGTCTCCACACGATATGTTTTATCAGGAGATAAGAGGGAGGCATTGGAAGAAGGGGAGGATCAGAGAAGACAGGATCAAACAGCATTTTTACACAATGCAGAGGATTAACCCCTTAGATTCCAGAGTGAGCATAACAAGCATGCTTTACTGCATATACAGACTGATTTTACTGTTGTGGGTTTAGTAACACTTTAAGTGACTTTTAACGTGGCATGGTTGTTGGCGCCAGATGGGCTGGTCTGAGAATTTAAAAAACTGCTAATCTGCTGGGATTGTTACACACAACCATCTCTAGGGTTTACAGAGAACGCTCCGAAAAAGAGAAAATATCCAGTGAGCGGCAGTTGTGTGGACGAAAATGCCTTGTTGATGTCAGAGGAGAATGGGCAGACTGGTACAAGACGACAGAAAGGCAACAGTACCTCATGTCAATATGGACCAAAATCTCTGAGGAATGTTTCTAACACCTTGTTGAATCTATGCCATGAAGAATTAAGGCAGTTCTGAAGGCAAAAGGGAATCCAACCCGGTACTAGCAAGGTGTACCTAATAAAGTGGCCGTTGAGTGTAGATATGAGTTACATATTTGCAGTGTATAGTATCAACGCGTTTCACAATAGTTGCTTCTTCAGGATTAACACTGCTCATTGTAGATACAAGTGTCATCCAAAGTGAACATAAAGAGCAACTTTTGATGAGACTTGATTGTGGCTGGACGTTTGCAGCAATACCTCACGTGTGGTGCAATTGCTTTTTACATATGTTTGAGGGACCTATGCATTTGCATGAGCAAGGGGGTGTTTTGCTTTTTTTTTATATAATTATTATTTTATTAAATTTTTTTTTACACTTTTTCATTTTTTTTTTTTTAATTCAAAGTAGAATGCCGGGCTTTTACTAACTATGCTTAAAAACGCTCCCTCCCCCTTCTAACACCTATACTAACTACCCAGTGGAAAAAAGATGTGTATATTTACCTATTTTTGGGTCACAGCAGTCCAGTCACATGATCAGCTCCCCCGTGTCAGGCAGTGGCCACTCATAAGAGAGGAAGGAGCGCCAAGAACGGATGGGCCACAGTAAGCCTATGAGTGATGTCACTGCTCAGGCATTGTTGTTGAGTGCGCTCTGCTCTCCCCTGTAGGCGGTGTAGGCTAACACTAGGGAGTTAATTTGACCAGACCGAAGTGGCCCGAGAAATAGATAAATATCGTATTTTTCACTCCATAGATGCACTTTTTTCCCCTAAAAAAAGGGGGGAAAGTGTCAGTGCATCTTATGGAGCAAATATGGAGCGGCCGGTCCGGTATTTCCACCGCCGCTACTGTGTCAGAATACCGGGCCGGCCGCTCAGCTCTCTCTGCAGCAGAACCTTACCTGTTCCTCGGTCCAGCGCTGTAAAGTCTTCCTGCGCCGGCTTCTTTAGCGCGAGAAGCGCTGCACTTTGTGAATAGCCCGGCATCTTCTGGGACACATGACATGTCCCAGAAGACGCCGGGCCATTCACAAAGCGCAGCGCTTCTCACACATGTGCAGTGGCCACACGGCTGTCAGCCGGGTGCCCGCACTAAAGGGAGGACAACTCTGTGGAACTGGGAGCAGGTACCTGTCAAATTCCGGTATCCAGCCCCCCCCCCTCCCCAAAGGTCCGCAGTCTCTTGGTCATTCCCTGTACTGTCTGCAGTCTCTTGGTCATCCCCTGTACTGTCTGCAGTCTCTGGTCATTCCCTGTACTGTCTGCAGTCTCTTGGTCATCCTCTGTACTGTCTGCAGTCTCTTGGTCATCCCCTGTACTGTGTCTGTAGTCTCTTGGTCATCCCCTGTACTGTGTCCGCAGTCTCTTGGTCATCCCCTGTACTGTGTCCGCAGTCTCTTGGTCATCCCCTGTACTGTGTCCGCAGTCTCTTGGTCATCCCCTGTACTGTGTCCGCAGTCTCTTGGTTATCCCCTGTACTGTGTCCGCAGTCTCTGGTCATCTCCTGTACTGTGTCCGCAGTCTCTGGTCATCCCCTGTACTGTGTCCGCAGTCTCTGGTCATCTACTGTACTGTGACAGCAGTCTCTGGTCATCTCCTGTACTGTGTCCGCAGTCTCTGGTCATCTCTTGTAGTAGGTCTGCGGTCTCTGGTCATCTCCTGTACTGTGTCCGCAGTCTCTGATCATCTCTTGTACTATGTCCGCAGTCTCTGGTCATCTCCTGTAGTAGGTCTGGTAGTAGGTCTGCAGTCTCTGGTCATCTCCTGTACTGTGTCCGCAGTCTCTGGTCATCTCCTGTACTGTGTCCGCAGTCTCTGGTCACCTCCTGTACTATGTCCGCAGTCTCTGGTCATCTCCTGTACCATGTCCGCAGTCTCTGGTCATTTCCTGTACTGTGTCCGCAGTCTCTGGTCATCCCCTGTACTATGTCTGCAGTCCATTGGTTCAGAATATTTTTTTTATTTTTTTTCACCTCAAAAACCTAGGCGCGTCTTATGGTCAGGTGGATCTTATGGAGCGAAAACATTTTTTACACAGGTTAGTAAGAATAGGGGTTAGGAGGCGGGGAGCGTTTTTAAGCATAGTCAATAAAACCTTAGAATTCTACATCAACGTTATTGTTATCACAAGGGGGCTAACAAGTAGCTTTGGGTGGGTGACAGGTACTCTTTATGGAGACATCAGGAGTCCATTAGACCTCATTGTCTCCCCTGCTCACTAAAGCAGCAAATGAAGTACAGATTGTGCTCGATTAACTGCCTCCCTGGTTGTAGCAGCCAGGGAATGACAGCTCTGAAACTGGAAGCGACTTTAACATTATTTCATTAGTCACAGAGAAGATCTGTTCCTCCATTTCCTCTGTGTTTAGCATTTACCGCAGTCCCAAGATCCCCAGTGGAATAGGAGAGGAACCACTGAGGGCAGCAGGAGGCATAGGGGGGCCCTTCTCAGTAACCTAAAAATGATTGAGCGGCTGTAGAGCTGCCCAGATCACTTTTACTAAACAGCCAATCACCAACTGTAAAAAATGACCTCATGAGTTCAGTACAACTACTTGCTTACAGGACATCTACATGCAGTGGTCAGCTAGTGGTTTTAAAGGACAAGTCTACTTGTAGTGAAAACCAAATAAGTCCACCCTCTCTGGCCTCCCATCCAATCTAGAAACCCCTATTGAAAGTTCATTTCACAGGCACATCAACACTGAAGAATCACCTGCATCTCATCCATCCAGTCAATCATGTACACCATCTCTTGAAATATTTTCTGCAGTGCCAAGTTCCGTTCCAGCCTCTTTCTTCGGGAACATAGCAAGTCTTTCAGTAGGTTCCACTGTCTCAGGATGTTGTCCTTCTGAGCTGCTATTCTACAAATGTCATAATATCCCTCTGATTCCATCTCCTGGGCTAGGTCCGCCACAACCTGGATCCGCTCCTCATATGATGAAATATCTGCCTCAATGGCCTCGTGTTTCTTCATGGCAGCCTCCACTGCAGACAGGTCATAGCCGAAATTATCCTAATGAGAGACAAATGGCCAGCTATGAAGGCTACAATTCAGTCACTCAAGTCTAATTGTGAGGAACAGCCTAGTATAAAAGAGACATACTACTTGGGAGCAGCCACTCTGCCTGCCACATTATGTGGGACACAAGTAATTGGTTTTTACTACCTGGACAGATGGCGATGGTCCTCAAAAAGTCTTGCCTACCTGAGACACAAGGCGCTGGTTCTCACTAAGCCATGCCTCTCTCATGGCAGCCTTCTGATCAAATCTCTGAGACAACAGCTCCAGCTTCTCTTGACGGATAAGCTCATTGCGCAGGGCGACCTCTCTGTCATGTTCAGCTTTCTCTAGCCATGTCCAAGCCTAGAAAACAATGCAGCTTGTATCTATTACTTATTAAAGGGACACTCATTTTCAAATATGCCCTAGAAATATATATGTTTACATTCCTATATAATTTTATCTTGAATCCGGACCTTTTAGAACAGGCACACCACATACTGTGCAGCTTCACAATTGAGTGGAGTAGAACGGACTATTCCAACCAACAGTGTAAGTTACGGTCTTCAGAGTCTGTTATATTCATTACAACTGTTTAATTGTTATTAAACCTTCCTTGGAAAAATACATGAAAAAATGTAGTTGTATACCTTGTCACCAATTCTTCCAGTCCACACTTTTGTGCAGTGTTTACAGCATTACCAACCTTTAAAAGCCTCCTCTGTTGAGTCCCCTTTGCCTCCAGTGTCTCCCTGGTGACACCCAGGCATGCGACGCTCCCACCACCTGGTGCCTTGCATGTCCATTAGAGGCTCCTAGTGTTGTACCCAGATGATGCGTGAGCAGTAGGGGTGTCCAGCACATGTACAGCAGGGGCAGCTAGCACTGCATTCGACCGGTGCATGCATAGTAGTACTGTGCTTAGTTTTTTAAGCCCAGTACTGCGCATGTGTCAGACGGCAGAGCCTATCATGCATACACCCAGGGGTGTATTTACCACAAGGCAAACAAGGCACTTGCCTAGGGCGCCATTTTTCAGGGGGGCAGCACCTCCCTTCAGAAGAAGAGATCGAAGAAGGGACACGCGCGATGGGAACCAGGTGGGATCTGAGAGAGGCTGCTTGATGGTGTAAGTAGAGCCTGACTCTCGTTCCCAGGGATGTCCAGATGAGTGTCTTTCTATCTACATATGGAGGGGCAGGGGTGTTGTTGGTCAATGTCCGGCTCTCTCCGGTTGTGTTGGTCGGTGTCTGTGGGGGCAGACGATTTTTCGGTTGCCTAGGGTAGCACAAAACCTAAATACACCACTGCATATACCAGTCATACTTCCAAAGAAAAAAAAAACCATCAAAAACAATTGTATTACACACTTTGTGCATGCAGCATAATGTAAAGGGTAGTTGTAATATTAGGATTTAATAATACTTTAGATTGGCCATAGACAAGAGATGTTTGTTATCTAATCTGGCCTTTGTCACCCAATCCAGTCTGTTTTAGAGGATCAGGCAACAACACAATGTCTGTGGACACCTGCAGATACACCACAAGCAAGTTATCTCAAGGAAATAATATCTGAACCATTTGGAAAACTCTTTCCTATAGCTACTGTTCCTCCTTAGATGAGCTGGGGTCAGGAGGTGTCTGTGTGCCCCTCTTTTTTCCACATCATGAACACAAGTGCATGGGCAAACCAGGTATATACTTCTATTCACAAGAATGGAATCAAAATGTTTTCAAACAGTCAGATTATACTGGCACCTAAATTCTCTCTGATGTCTATGGTCACCTTCAGACTGGCTAAAGATGGGAATATACTAAACATCAATTGCAGCATTGCCAGGAGCCACTGCAATGTTTTATTAAATTCACCCAGTAAGTGAACAGCACACATATTGTGGTAAATACGTTCTTAATGCAATCAGGACCAAAATGTTGAAATATTTTTGTGTTTATATAGGAAAGCATTTCTACCATTGATCGCTAGGAGAACTGCTACACATTCTGATCCTCACCACAATCTCTGAATCAGAAAAGCTAGCCACAGACAAAATATGAAAAATGAAAACATGGGCATGATTAAATCATATTAAAAATATACCCCACCACAACTACCACACTAGCCATATAAGAAAACCAGTTAGAAAATCCAAGCTTGTTGGTTTCCCTCCGAAAGTAAAGCTGGCCATACATAGACTGGTAGAATTTCAAACGAAAATTCCTAAGAAAAATATTTTAGTAAAGTAGGCCATGACGAGTCAAAATATTTGTGTTTTGTTGACCAAAAAATGATTGTGCCATCAATTGTTTCAGTTGAAAAAAAAAAAAATGAGCATGTTGGATCAGGCACTTTTGATTGCGGCACGAAAATCATGTGTTGCAGCTGGCACACTAATGATGCAAAAAACAAACCATTCGATAATCCAACGCGATTTTGTTTGTTTTTTTGACTCATCTACAGCCTGCTTACATTTGTTAATTTTTCTAATCATTGGTGGGATCAAATCAACATTCATTTTGCAGTTTTCCTAAAGAAGGCCATAGACGTATCAAAAAACAAATGTTCTGTAGATCAAAAAACTAAAATAGCTTATAAGATTGTGCCATCAATTGTTTAAAATTTCTTTAAAAAACCCAGCTTGTTGGATCAGGCACTTTGGATTGCAGCACAAAAATCGCATGTTGCAACTGGCACACGAATGATTCAATGATCAACACGAGTTTCGTTCGTTTTTCGACTCATCTATGGCCTGCTCAACAGTGAATTGGGTTTTCGTTTGGTAAAGTCCATTCAATCGAAAATCAATGATTTTAATTCAAAATTGCTATCCATCTATGGCCAGCTTAATGCAGGTCATAGACGAGTCAAAAAACGAATGAAATTTGTGCCGGTCGTCAAATCGTTTGTTTTTCTAATCATTAGTGTGCCAGCTGCGATGCACGATTTTTGTGCCGCAATCGAAAGTGTCTGATCCAACATGCTGTTTTTTTTTGTAGAAAATCAAAACAAGTGATGGCACAATCGTATGAGCTATTTTCGTCTCGTCTATAGCCTGCTTACGTGATGCAAAAAAGTGGGCAGATCCCAAGGGTACATTCGTATGGGTGTTTTGCCATGGTAAATCAAAGACGAATTCTCCTGCGCTCTAGGACTCAGACAGGTTGCGAATAGATGGAACCAGGCCTGGAGAAATCGTCCACCAATGCATAAAGGGCTGTGCGGCTCCAAAACAAGGCTGGGGAAGCCCGACCAATACTGCAGAATGAAATGAAAACGAGAAGCGCACCAACCTTGCGCATTACCTCAGTAACCAAAATTTATTAATTGTAAAAAATATACTCACAAACAGCGCATAGCTGGCATGGCATCACCCCTACTGTAGACATGTATTGACACGAAACGCGTCTAGGAGGAGCCTTCGCACGCCTTGACGTCACGCCGCCGGATCAGGAGGTCCGGCGGCCAACCCTTGATTTTCACTGGCTTCTTTGTGGATCTAAGGAGCAGTGTGATCCGACCAGACCAATATCTTCTTATCATTGAGGGACCACCCAGGTACCACCAAGCAGCTCCTGCATGAGACCTCGGCTACATGTGACCTGTACATGCGCATTGAGATTGCGCTTCTGGTAAGTGGGCAATCTATCTAATCCCTCGATATTGGATTGGATTACACCAACGTTTTTGGAGGTTTTTTCATAATTGAACTGCTTACCACATCTGATATTATTACATTGGACAATTATCTTTTTCTCATGAGTTATTTCACATAATTGCTATAAAGATATTGTTTGTAGCGCTGCACTTTTATTTTGTCAATTTCAGTTGGAAAGGTTTTGTGGTTCCTTTTAGTGCATTTGCTGCTCACTGGAGTGCGCTCACTAACTTATCTACATACAGCGCATAGCTACTGAACACCCATTCCCATGATGGGACTCACGCTATCTTCAAGTCCCTGTGAGGACTTACATGCCTGATTTCATTCACTGTTTGTGAGTATATTTTTTACAATTAATACATTTTGGTTACTGAGGTAATGCGTAAGGTTGGTGCGCTTCTCGTTTTCATTTCATTCTGTTTTGCCATGGTGCCATGGTGCAAATCCCAGCTGAAGTTATTCATCTGACAGGCTGGCGATGGCCACAGCTTTGTATGGGTCCAGCATTGCTCACCACAGGTGATCGCTGGGTTTGTGAACAACCACAAATAGCTGTGGCTGCCGACAGCCTGTCATTATAGTTTACAGGTTCAGTCGCTGATCACAGCTGTCAAATCCAGCATCAGGAATTAGTAGATTCCTGCAGCTGGAATTTGCACCTTGACAAAACGCCCTTGTGCAGGTAGCCAGAAGCTGCTAGAGTTCACAGTCCAGCTTGGCATTATACAAAGCTCCTGCTTTCCCATTAGGGCTGCACAATATCAGTATGTGGCGTGAGCAAACTCACCAACGCTTGCGAAAACATGTCAATGTAACTAATGTAACTAATGTGTCTATTATCACCTGTGGATACTTTCCAACATGAACTGACGTTGGGGAGAAAATTCACAGATTTTGCAGTCCTGGAAATTTAAGGCTAATATGAAGTGTTACCAGGAACAATGATATACAGATAAGAAGGACTCACCTTGTTAATATCAGATATGGTTTTCCCTTCAGGTGGAACATATACTTTTCGTTTCTCCTCCCTCATCTTGCTCTGAATGGTGAAAAGAAGAACCTCCAAATTTCCTTTCTCTTGGAATCTAGGTAAAAGTAACAGCTATGGTCTGACTATGATTAAAACCCAACTAGGCAGATAAAAAATAAATACACCTAAAAAAAAAAATCGAGACCGCATGTTTTTACTTTCTTAATTGTACTGTGTGTTTTTCCAAGTAGCCCTCTATTCATTTTTTTATGAATTCTTTAGCTAATTTTTGTAAAAAAACATTTTCATAGAAAAACAAGTGATATTAAAATCAAGTGATTGTAAAGGTTCTCTTTTTTATAGCAAATATGGTATACTTACTTGCTCTGTGCAATGGTTTTGCACAGAGCAGCCGTGATCCTCCCCTGCTGGTGCTCCTGGCCCCTTGTGCCTTCCGAGTTCCCCCAGAGCAAGCCACTTGCTATGGGAGCACTCATGCGGGCTGGATCCTGAGCCACACTGTGTGCGTCTATTGACACACACAGTGTGGATCAGCTCAGCCCCCCTGCTCCCTCGTTACATATTTGATTGACAGCAGCGAAAGCCATTGAATGGTGGATGAAGTTAAAATGAGCCTGTGCCTAGATCATGCACCCTAAAGTATTTACATATTCTGAACAAGCAGTAAAAGTACTTTAAAACAAGCCCTCACTCACCTCTGTATCAACAGACATTGTGGAGAAATTATTTTCATATCTCACAACACACGGACAGCTTATTTTGATAGAGAACAGATCTTGGCAGGCTGCTCATCCTCAACAGCATCAGTTTCTACGCTGTTAGAAACCACTTTTAGACTCTTTGTTGTGATATTTGAGGATCTTTACTAATCTTTATCTCATTTATATATTACAAAAGGCACTGGCCTATGAAGATCTACTAACAGTATGTGAAAAGACCAATCCAGAGGCACTGTTTTGGGAACATGGTAAAATATAGTGTACCAGAAAGTGTGTTCATGAAGTTCCATACTTACTTGCATGGTTTCTCAGTGGTGCAATATGTGGTGAATGCCTGAAGCTGTTGCTGGACGCCCAGCAAGGAGTTGGCGAATTTCTGGGTGATGATTGATATGGTTCTCTCAATCCAGTCTAAAAGTTCTGATGCCAAGACTTCATATCTATAGATGTCCTTCTCAGTGGCAATAGCCTGGTCCAGCACCTGCATATAAAAGACAATACAAGCCTATAGTACAAAAGCAGGCAATCTTTCTATCTTTAGGGGGAACTGGAGCTCCAAAATGGTCAATTTCAGACCTTCATTTTCAGAAGAGCTGGTAAAGCATAGTCAATTGAAGGGAAATTCACCAAAAGCAAGAGTGTAAACAAAAACTGTATTTAGCCAATTCAATTCTTCAGACTTTGTTATGTTGAATGACACATCACCATATGAGAGTACAGAAATTACAAGCAATTTTTAACCATTTGAATTCTTAGTTCACCTTTTCAGAAAAAAAGAAAAGGAAAACTAACACGCTACACCCCCCCCACCCCCCAGTCCCTGCTGTACTTACCTCCTGTGAGTGATGCACTGTCTATGCCCACACAGCCTGTGTAGATATCTGGGGATTTAAAATCCCACTCTTCTCTCTCTTTGGTTCTGACCGGCTGCATGCTCACTGACAGCACATCACCCAGGGGAGGTAAGGGGAAGGTACAAGGCATTCGCTTACCTTTTTATTTCTCCTGAAAAGGTAAACTAACACTTCAGAGTATACTTATTATAAACCTAGAAACTTTCCGACAAGGAAAGCTGTAGTTCTCACAAGTAGATAGATTACACTGACAGTCTGCAGGAGACCTGCATGGCACCAGCAATCTGCTGATTGTTGGTGCAATGCTTATCAGGATACTAAAATAAAAATTGTAAATACACATTTTTTTTCTTGCAAAAAATGTGCATTTATTATTTTTTGTTAAAAGGTGAACTTATCCTTTCAGCAGGGATCTCCAAACTTTTCAAACAAAGGGTCAGTTTACTGTCCTTCAGATTTTAAGAGGACCGGATTGTGGCCAGTGGGCTAAAAAATGTCCCGAGCCCAGCATAATTGAGAATAAACATGACCTTAGGGTTAGTGGTTAGTAGGATGAGGAATAGTGCCCCATCATTGGTAGTAGTGGGAGGAATAGTAGTGCTCCATCATTGATACTAGTGGGAGGAATTGTGCCCTGTCACTGATAGTAGTGGGAGGAATTGTGCCCTGTCACTGATAGTAGTGGGAGGAATTGTGCCCCATCACTGATAGTAGTGGGAGGAATTGTGCCCCATCATTACTGTCAGTGGCAAGAATTATGCCCCACTGTTGAAGGAATAGTGCCTCATATCATTGGGAGGAAAAGTGCCCCAAGGGCCCCTAGCAAAGGGCCGCATGCGGCCCTTGGGCTGCAGTTTGGAGACCACTGCTTTAAGACCCCGGTCACATCAAGCCTGACTTTGAAATCGTGCAATTTACAGTGAAGTCGCATGATTTCAAAGTCGGATAACATGCTGATTTAAGGTGCGATTTGCAAGACATCTGCCACAGATGTCTATGCAAATCGCACCAAAAGTAGTGCATGTACTTCTTTAGAAATCGGTGCGGCTGCGCTCTAATTGCGGACAATATGGTGGGACTTGACATGCGATTTGCAAGTCGCATGGCATGCAAATTGCATGCCAATTTGCATCCAGTGTGACCGGGGTGTAAGGCATTATGTACCAAAACAATTGCAGTTTTTCTTAATAAAAAAAGTGTTAGCCTTTTCATTCTTTGCTGCATCACACTGTTTCTAATCACCTGCAGACAATTCCTGCCTACATACATGCACTCCAGCAATTGCTACACATTATTTCTCAGTTTAGCAATGGTGACAACAGTGCAGCATGCCTTTGTAACATGTGACAGTGTTGTCAAACAATAACAGGAAGTGTCTGAACAAGAACCTTCATGGCAGTAACAAGTTAAAAAATCTTAAATTATATTTTAGTGAATACGTTTATACAGTATATACTTTCATCAATGTTCTGTCTCATATTCCAACACAGCAGAAATTGCAGCAAGAGAATGTTGCTTATTTATCATGCCGTGACTCACGACAATCCGAATTCCGTTTTAATCAATTTAATGTGAACAATGAAAAATTAATTTTGACTGATTGCTAGAGAATGCTGCACTTGGACAAAGGTTACCTTTCCGATACGTTTGCCCTCAACAGCTAAGGCCTTCATCTTGGAGAAGTAGTGATAAAAGGACACAACGTAGGTTATGATGGATTTCTCATCTGGATTCTCTGTGTTAACATCTAGAAAGAAAATACACACAAACATTGATGGTAACCATACAGCTTTTCATCTTACAGACTTGCAGTTGTATATGTTTCTGTACTGCACTGAATTATATGTGCTTCAAGCATGCTGCACCACACCTGTCAAACCTAAAGCGGAACTGCACTCAAAAAGTGAGGTCTCATTGGTTCACTGCCTCCTGTAACTGAGTTACAAGTTTTTGGGGGGATATGGGGGGAGCGGAGAGTAGTGATTTTTATTGTTAGCCCACTCCCACTTCTGCAATCCTTGCCTAGGTGAGGATAATATCCCTTGCCCAGCCCCCCTCCTCTCCTGCAATTGCCTTGTCCCCTCTTCTCCCACGGCCTCATGGGACCATCAAAAACATTTACAAAGCACAGCGTGAGTTCGAACATATGCAGGGGGGAGCCAGCTGCGGTTAATCAGAGAGCTACAGCTGGCTCCCATATCAAAGATGGTGGCGCCAGGGATGGGCAGCAGTAAGAACTGGCTGCAGGATGACTGCTGAACTCCAGGCACTGGTAAGTACCAGATTTTTGGTCAGTAGTTACAGTATTTGCAGTTTGAGAAAAAAAATTAAGTGAAATTCCTTATTACCAGTATAAACAAGAAGAAGATCACAGCTCCTTACATAAAGGAAGTCTGCAAATACAGTTAGTAAGAAGTTAAAGCGGAGTTCCACCTAAAAAAAAATAAAATAAAAGTCAGCAGCTACAAAAACTGTAGCTGCTGACTTTTAAAATACAGCCACTTACCTGTCCCTCAGTCCCGCGGTGTCCTCACCACCGCTGGTTTCACCGGCCGTCTTCTCTCCCCAGCGCCGGGATCTTCAGTGTGGGCACCCGGCTGTGACAGCTTGCGGCTTCACAGCCACAGCCGGGTGACCATTGCGCATGCGCGAGAAGCGCTGCGCTTTGTGAATGGCCCCATAGTCTTCTGGGATCTGTCACATGTCCCAGAAGACTACAGGGAGGGATAGGGGGGAGGACAACTTCCGCTTCTGATCGCCTAGGCCAGGGGTGGGCAACTGTGGCCCTCCAGCTGTTGGTGAACTACAAGTCCCATCATGCCTCTGTCTTTGGGAGTCATGTTTGTAACTGTCAGTTTTGCAATGCCTCATGGGACTTGTAGTTCTACAACAGCTGGAGGGCCACAGTTGCCCACCCCAGGCCTAGTCCAATCCTTACTGGGGAGCGGGGGGCAAAGCCTTAAAGCTAACTTCCTCATTCAGGTGGAGCTCCGCTTTAATACTGCATGAGCTAGTCCAGCTTGCAATTACGAATCCTGGTATGGTATGCATAAGTGATGGACTTCATCTTGCCAATACTACCATGTTTAGCTATAGTATACAGATGCTTTCAAAACCAAAAGCATACTAGTGAGCTTAAAGAATGTGTAAACCCAACAGTTCAGATTTCTGATGTGTGCCTAATGTACCTTGTACTTCCATGAAAAAGTCTCCTGTTCTCTTTGTATTGCTTCCTTTCTGTGAGATCCCTGGTTCCTGCCAGTCACTCTGCTTTCCTATTAAAAACTGACCACACTAGGCATGAAAGCACAGAATGGGGGTATTTCCTGACAGGTTTACATTTCATGTTTTGTGTTTAATGTGACTGTTTGTGAAGGATGCTCCTCCTCCTTTATCTCTCCTGTGGATATTTTTTTCCACTTGAAGGCGCCAGTTATAGCCCCTGCATGGGAGGACTAGGTGCTCCTTGTACTATTGTGCCCTAATTTTACTACTGAATAAAATTTAGTGAACAAGACAGCACAGAGCGGTCAGTTTCTCTAGCTCTGCTGGGAACTCAGCCTGCTCTGCTCCAATGATCAGTCTTTTCCTGACACCCTGAACACCCCCTTGCACAGCCATTCACTGGGAAGCTCAATGTGCTGCTGTTTCTATTCCCCCAGGTCTTATGCAGCTGAGAACAAAGGGAATGTGATCACATTAAAAAGGGAAAAAAAGTATTTATGATTTTTTTTCATATCTATACACAAATAATTTTCCCTTTATTTATATTTTACATTTTAAACTGAATGGGTTGTTTTACAAAATGAGGGTTTACAATCACTTTAAAACAGCCAGTCAAAGGTTCAGTAATAAGCTGAAAATCTAAGAGTTGTTTTTCCATGCTCCTATATATATGCACAGACATCTAGAATTTTTTTCTTGACCTATTTTTTTTTTTATCTCACAGTCTTACATTTTAAAGTTTAAGTTGGGAAGGATTAGAACCCCTAACTGCATTTTATTTATTTATTATAAGTTTTTTACACAGTGCTACATTGCACATTCACATCAGTTCATGCCTTCAAAGAGCTTACAAGGTCCCCATCCCACATACATATTAGGGCCAACTTAGACAATTAAAGTTATATTAAAGGTTAAAATAAAAATAATAATAATTATGCTATAATTACCTGCTCTGTGCAATGATTTTGCCCACAGCAGCCCCGATCCTCTTCTTCTTGGGTCCCCCACCAGTGCGCCTCTTCTCCGAATGCCCTCATAGCAAGCTATGGGGGCACTTGTGCATGCTCCGCCCTGAGCCCCACTCTGTGGGGCTCCCTACTCACTGGCTGTGATTGAAAGCAGTGGGAGCCAATGTCTCTCAGCCAATGAGGAGGCAGAAACCTGGGCGAGCAGCCACCCTCGTGAACATTGCTAGATTGCGGCTTGGGTAAGTATTGGGGGGGGCTGCTGCATAACGAAGGTTCTTTATCTTCATGAATAGAATGCATGAATGTAAAAAACCTCCAACCTTTAGAACCACTTTAACCTCCCAGAATTGTTTTTGAACTGTGGGAGGAAACCCAAGCAAGCTCAGGGATAACACGCAAACTCCATGCAGCCCATGTCTTGCATGGATTCAAACTGAGGACCCCAGTGCTGCAAGGCAGAAGTGCTGACCATTAAACCACGATGTTGGATATCTATTAAGGAAATGTTTTTGTCATGGTGACAAAAGCATAGAAACAGGAACACAGGCAGCAATAAAATCCTTACTTTAATAAAAAAAATTTAAAATATTATTTTGGTCTATATTGCTGCTGGAGATTTTCTCTTAACTTCCTCTCTGGTGAAACCACTGTCACTGGGATGTATGTGAGGGGAAATCTCTCTAAGAGCTCTGAATAGCAGTACAACAGCAGTTCTTTTCCTTCTGCATTCAAAAGATAGAAAAATATTTATCTGGCTGGACACACGCTGTAATTTAACATGTAAAGATGCACTTTCCCCAGGTTCCTGTAATCCAGTATTCACATCCACTCACCTTCCGGGTCTAAAAGTTTGATCAGACTCAGTTGCTGCTCAGCTGTATTAAATGCATATTGGAGGTTGTAGGTTGCATTTGATTTTGTCAGCCTGCTGAAATCAATTATATCCGGTCTATGGAAATAAAACATTTAACAGATCAATAAATCAATAGATTTTACACACAACACTGTTCTGTTCAGTATAAAAGTGGATGTACAATCCACAACATCAGATCCCAGTTATTTTTCTACAGAAAATATAATAAAATTAAACTTTAAAAAAAAAGAGCAGATGAAAAGGAAAGGTGATATCTGGGATGTGCACGCTATGAGATGAAATTTGATTCATAGCTACCGGCCCCTGCTGGTCAGAAAGAATACTGCAATACAATTCAGGCCCCAGATCAGTCTTTTAGGGCTCATGTACACTGCAGCTGATAAACTGACGTTCAGGAGCTGTTCAGCGTTTTTTTGAGCAGCCCCTGAACTCTCCCTAATGTTTTCCTATCTGTCCATGTACACATCTTCGTTTACAGTCGTTTACAGGCAGTTGAGTTTACAGTTGTTTTTTTGAACGCACCAAACTTGCGTTCAGGAGTAGATTTTACTGGCATTTCAAATGCCATACGCTTGTAAATGCCTGTAAGCACTTGTAAACGCGGCTAACCGCGTTTATAAGCGTTTGCGTTTAGAAGCGTTTTTTAACTGTACCATGTCCAGATGCTGTCCAGAGCCTTTTTTCATCATCAGAAATGCATGCAAAGTGTTTTCCGTGTATTCAAATGGACCCGGTACACCAGAGCAGTCAGTTTCAGGTTTCGTGTAAAGGAAAAAATGGTAGAACGTGCTACATTATGCTCATGATGGGATCCATAGTGAATACAACCAGAAAAGAAAGCTAATCTCAACTCATACTGCTCGCTCTGCTTCTGCTCTCTCTATTTCTCTCAAAATGTCTGAAATAGTTAATTATTTACTATTTTTCAGTGCATTCTGGGCATTTGGGAGGGTCTCGTGAGGTTATCTTTTAAAAACGCTTCTAAACGCAAATGCGGCTAAAAGCGGTATGCAAATGCAGCTACACTGACGTTTTTTTAACCTGCGTTTTCCAGCAGTCATTTCAGAAGAGTTTTTCCAAACACCCCGTGTACATGAGCCCTTACACATATAAAGCCCTAAACACACAAGCATTGCTCAGTCCTATGCTGGCTATATACTCCTAGATTTGTTTCCTGTATCCACGATATACAGCACAGATGGACAAATCTATCTTGGAGCCTATTCTATCCTGACAGCCACTGCTGGCGACTGGCAGAGTAAATGAACAGCAGCTGGCAGAGTAACTGAACAGTGCTTTGCCAAAACATTTTCTGTCTGGCTCCTTTGCTTTTTCAAACAAATGATACCAGTAGGAGGATGGTAAAAGAGTCCTCTCAGATCAAATTTTGGTTCATCAGGAACTGGCCAAAACTTAGAAAGTGTATGGCCACATTTGTATTGTGAGCGCTAGTCTGAATAAGGTCCCTTTCACATGGTCCTTCCGATCAGATCCGCATGTCAGTTTTTCAGGCAGACCTGACTGGAAGGTCTATTCATCCTTATGGACAGGCGGGTGTAAATAGACTTGTGCCCATGCACACCCAGCTACTTCTCGTTCCAATCCAGCCAGCGAAAAAACAAAACAAAAGGGGATCCATCCTCTTCTGTCTAGGCAGAGTGGATTGGAGGATAGTTGGGTGTAAATGGACAGTCCATTTACTCCGAGCTGCCCATACACACAGCGGGGCCTGTCTGTGTCCATTCTGCAGAAACTGAGTGGATCAGTGTCATCTGCCCGCACTGTTCCAATCAACAGGGGATCTGTGACCTGATTTCCTGATGATCAGAATGGAATCTGCCCCGTACGAAAGCGGCCTTACCTTGACAAACCAATCAACAAACAAATCAGCAAACTTCTCAAAGCATCCTTTAGGACTTGTGAGCATAAAAATGTTGAAGCAACCACTGCTGAATGTTTAGTGCAGGCTGTGCAGATGTCATCCTGATCCTGGTTTTACTACAATTTTACTAACCTGAAAAAAGTATGCCGGACGGGAAAACATTACAGACATCACTGGCTACATGTCTGTTTTGAGTGAGTAACTCACTAGGCACTAAGCCAAGACTGGATTGACAACCCTGGAGCTTTACCTCAATGCAATCATAAAGGTAGAGGTAGAGCACAGTGTTCTGTACCTGTTAGGACTCATGCACACTGCTGCTCCTAAAGTGACATTTTTAAGGATTATGGTGTTTTTTTCCCCTAAGCCCCTGAATGCACCTCAATAAAAGAATATGTGTCCATGCATCCACAGCCTTTTTAGAGTAGTTTAGGAGCAGTGACGGGAGTTTAGAGGCTGTGACGGGAGTGATTTTGGGTGGGGGGCCCATGGAACACAGCTCACTTTGGAGAGGTGGGGAAACCCCTGTCTCAACTCCCCATATCCCTCATATGTGTAAGTCACCCTGTGCCTGTTAGGGATGCAGGGTGAGATGTCTTGATATTGTGTAGACATGTATTGGGGGGGGGGGGGTTGGTCATTGTTTAATGCCATGTGTCCCATTGTTCTATTGTGTGTCTTTCTTGGGAGCAAACTATTATGGGATGTATGTGTTTGTGTATTGGCTTGGTGGGGGGTGTTTCCGGCAGCCCTTCCCCCCGATGGGACTGTCTGCTGATGTGTTTTTTGTTGATAGACTTGGTTTGCCCCACACTGTATCCTTATGCAGGGAGGTGGGTTGTTCCCTTGAATGTATATATCTTGTGTCTCTGTTAAAATAAAGCAGTCTATTTCCTGAGTTATTTCAAGACTGGTCTCATCTAGTCTTGTATGGCCAGCGGTGGGGTCCGTGGACAGTGTTTGGACAGGGAAGCGGGAGTGTTCGGAAATACCCTAGCGCAATCGAGGTCCGGTTCCGTTACAGAGGCAGTCAAAGCTCCCTCTCCTGAACACAGAAGAATTGCATTCAGGAGAGGAACTTTTGGGCATAAAAAACGCAAAATGCAGGTAACAGCACCTAAGCGCTAGGCATGTTTGGTGCTTGACAGTTTATTGATTTCAATGACCAGAATTAATTCAAATTCTGGCCAATTAAATAAATGAACGCCCAAATGCATTTGAAAAAATGCGGCTTGGGTGCTTTTTTAATGTTTTTTTTTTTTTTTAACATACTGTCACCCTAGCACGGGTGTCGGCAACCCGTGGCTCCAGAGCCGCATGCGGCTCTTTTTCACCTTTGCTGCGGCTCCGGAGCACACTGCCCACCAGGTGACAGGCAATAGGGTTGCCGTAGCTCAGTGGTCGGCAAGCCGCGGCTCTTTTAACCTCCCTGGCGGTTTTCCCGAGTGTAGCTCGTGGTAGAATTTCTATACCACGAGCTACACTCGGGCTTACCATGCGGCGCTGCTCTGGGGGTCCCTGCAGCACTTACCTTGTCCTTCGTTCCCGCGATGTGTCCCCTGCAGCGTCCCCGGCCATCTCCTCCGGCCGATGCCGGCATCCGGCTTCTGTGTTCCAGTCCCCGTGACGTCGGGACGTACGGGCGCCGCCGCCGGCGGCGGGAAATTTAAAACATTTAAAAAATGTCTTTTTTTTTTTTTTTCAATTTTCAATAGTAAAACATTGCTGTTTCATCCCATTTCACATACATATTGTCCCTAGTGCTTTGTCCTGTGCCCTGCCTGCATTTTGTCTGTTCTTTCTGCCTGGAAACTTAGAAAAGTCCATGGCGTCCAAAAAGCGTCCCTTTAGGTCAAAAGCGCTTTTAGACCGGCTAGAGAACAGCGATAGTAAATCAGAACCACTTGCAGAATTGAGTGATAATGATTTGTGGGGAAATTTTCCTAAAAATTACAGCCTACAATAAAAAACTATTTCCATGCGAAAAAATGGTACCGCTTTCAGCACAAAAAATCGGAAGGAATCATACCGCCAGGGAGGTTAATGCAGCTCTTCTGTGTGCCGGGCGCCCGCTCCCCTCCCTCCTCTCGGGCGGCCGCCCCAAAAGTCAGGACTCTGCAGCTAGCCTAGCAATGGGCAAACTACGGCCCGGCGGACCTTATAATCCGGCCCGCGGAGCGTGGCAAACATTGGCTGTCAGGATGTAGGCGGGGCAGCGTGACGAACTCCTCTCCTCTCACAGTCCGCCCTGAAGACCAGAACTGCGCGGGAACACGGCGAGAGGAATGCGCGGAGTACAGGTAAGTGAATTGACACAATATGGGAATGAATTACTATAGGGGGGATGAATTACTATAGGGGGGATTAATTACTATATGGGGGATGAATTACTATATGGGGGATGAATTACTATAGGGGGGATGAATTACTATAGGGGGGATGAATTACTATAGGGGGGATGAATTACTATATGGGGGATGTATTTTCAGTTTTAAAAATGTGGCTCTCAAAATAAATTTTAATTGTGGTTTTGGCGAGATTTGGCTCAGTTGAAAAGGTTGCCCACCACTGACCTAAGGCTATGATTGTGATTATGACGATACACTGTGGCCCTGATTAACCCTTTGCTTACTGGGCCCTTAAACCCCCTTCATGACCAGAGCGCTTTTTGCAATATATGCAGTGTCGGATTTGTTTTAAATGTTGCAATGGTTTTGCGGCTCCCAGTCTTTTTTTTCCCTCTCGGAAACGGGTCCAAGTGGCTCTTTATGTCTTAAAGGTTGCAGACCCCTGCCCTAGCAGTACAGTGTCACCATAGTGACACTGTACTACTTGTTGGGGGGTGATGAAGATTTATTTTTTATTTTTTTACACTGATTGCTTTTACACCATAAAGGGTGTAAAAGCAATAATTTCTCCTTCTCTCTGGCTGCATTCTTGCAGCCATTGAGAAATACTGTGAGAGCTGTGATTGGTCACACTGACAGGAAAAACAGTGCTTACAGTAAACCAGTGTGCATAAGGCCTTAGAGCAAGTTATATTAAAGGGACTGATTCAGGGCACCAGGAAAGAACAGACTCCGACATTCTCTGGTATTTTTGTTAACAATTATTCTGTAAGGTTCCCTTTAACCACTTCCCGTCCGGTCCATGTACATAAATGACCGGATGGGAGCAGTGCAGGAGCAAGTGGCCGTTTATAAACGTCCCCCCACTTCCCTGCCTATGCGCACTTTTTCAAAATGTTTGGACTTTTTCATTTATATAGCAAAAAAAAAAAATTATCCCAGTGGTGAATAAATACCACCAAAATAAAGTTTTATCTTTGGAGAGGTGGGGAACCCCTGTCTCAACTCCCCATATCCCTCATATGTGTAAGTCACCCTGTGCCTGTTAGGGATGCAGGGTGAGATGTCTTGATATTGTGTAGACATGTATTGGGGGGGGGGTTGGTCATTGTTTAATGCCATGTGTCCCATTGTTCTATTGTGTGTCTTTCTTGGGAGCAAACTATTATGGGATGTATGTGTTTGTGTATTGGCTTGGTGGGGGGTGTTTCCGGCAGCCCTTCCCCCCGATGGGACTGTCTGCTGATGTGTTTTTTGTTGATAGACTTGGTTTGCCCCACACTGTATCCTTATGCAGGGAGGTGGGTTGTTCCCTTGAATGTATATATCTTGTGTCTCTGTTAAAATAAAGCAGTCTATTTCCTGAGTTATTTCAAGACTGGTCTCATCTAGTCTTGTATGGCCAGCGGTGGGGTCCGTGGACAGTGTTTGGACAGGGAAGCGGGAGTGTTCGGAAATACCCTAGCGCAATCGAGGTCCGGTTCCGTTACAGAGGCAGTCAAAGCTCCCTCTCCTGAACACAGAAGAATTGCATTCAGGAGAGGAACTTTTGGGCATAAAAAACGCAAAATGCAGGTAACAGCACCTAAGCGCTAGGCATGTTTGGTGCTTGACAGTTTATTGATTTCAATGACCAGAATTAATTCAAATTCTGGCCAATTAAATAAATGAACGCCCAAATGCATTTGAAAAAATGCGGCTTGGGTGCTTTTTTAATGTTTTTTTTTTTTTTTAACATACTGTCACCCTAGCACGGGTGTCGGCAACCCGTGGCTCCAGAGCCGCATGCGGCTCTTTTTCACCTTTGCTGCGGCTCCGGAGCACACTGCCCACCAGGTGACAGGCAATAGGGTTGCCGTAGCTCAGTGGTCGGCAAGCCGCGGCTCTTTTAACCTCCCTGGCGGTTTTCCCGAGTGTAGCTCGTGGTAGAATTTCTATACCACGAGCTACACTCGGGCTTACCATGCGGCGCTGCTCTGGGGGTCCCTGCAGCACTTACCTTGTCCTTCGTTCCCGCGATGTGTCCCCTGCAGCGTCCCCGGCCATCTCCTCCGGCCGATGCCGGCATCCGGCTTCTGTGTTCCAGTCCCCGTGACGTCGGGACGTACGGGCGCCGCCGCCGGCGGCGGGAAATTTAAAACATTTAAAAAATGTCTTTTTTTTTTTTTTTTTTCAATTTTCAATAGTAAAACATTGCTGTTTCATCCCATTTCACATACATATTGTCCCTAGTGCTTTGTCCTGTGCCCTGCCTGCATTTTGTCTGTTCTTTCTGCCTGGAAACTTAGAAAAGTCCATGGCGTCCAAAAAGCGTCCCTTTAGGTCAAAAGCGCTTTTAGACCGGCTAGAGAACAGCGATAGTAAATCAGAACCACTTGCAGAATTGAGTGATAATGATTTGTGGGGAAATTTTCCTAAAAATTACAGCCTACAATAAAAAACTATTTCCATGCGAAAAAATGGTACCGCTTTCAGCACAAAAAATCGGAAGGAATCATACCGCCAGGGAGGTTAATGCAGCTCTTCTGTGTGCCGGGCGCCCGCTCCCCTCCCTCCTCTCGGGCGGCCGCCCCAAAAGTCAGGACTCTGCAGCTAGCCTAGCAATGGGCAAACTACGGCCCGGCGGACCTTATAATCCGGCCCGCGGAGCGTGGCAAACATTGGCTGTCAGGATGTAGGCGGGGCAGCGTGACGAACTCCTCTCCTCTCACAGTCCGCCCTGAAGACCAGAACTGCGCGGGAACACGGCGAGAGGAATGCGCGGAGTACAGGTAAGTGAATTGACACAATATGGGAATGAATTACTATAGGGGGGATGAATTACTATAGGGGGGATTAATTACTATATGGGGGATGAATTACTATATGGGGGATGAATTACTATAGGGGGGATGAATTACTATAGGGGGGATGAATTACTATAGGGGGGATGAATTACTATATGGGGGATGTATTTTCAGTTTTAAAAATGTGGCTCTCAAAATAAATTTTAATCGTGGTTTTGGCGAGATTTGGCTCAGTTGAAAAGGTTGCCCACCACTGACCTAAGGCTATGATTGTGATTATGACGATACACTGTGGCCCTGATTAACCCTTTGCTTACTGGGCCCTTAAACCCCCTTCATGACCAGAGCGCTTTTTGCAAATATGCAGTGTCGGATTTGTTTTAAATGTTGCAATGGTTTTGCGGCTCCCAGTCTTTTTTTCCCTCTCGGAAACGGGTCCAAGTGGCTCTTTATGTCTTAAAGGTTGCAGACCCCTGCCCTAGCAGTACAGTGTCACCATAGTGACACTGTACTACTTGTTGGGGGGTGATGAAGATTTATTTTTTATTTTTTACACTGATTGCTTTTACACCATAAAGGGTGTAAAAGCAATAATTTCTCCTTCTCTCTGGCTGCATTCTTGCAGCCATTGAGAAATACTGTGAGAGCTGTGATTGGTCACACTGACAGGAAAAACAGTGCTTACAGTAAACCAGTGTGCATAAGGCCTTAGAGCAAGTTATATTAAAGGGACTGATTCAGGGCACCAGGAAAGAACAGACTCCGACATTCTCTGGTATTTTTGTTAACAATTATTCTGTAAGGTTCCCTTTAACCACTTCCCGTCCGGTCCATGTACATAAATGACCGGATGGGAGCAGTGCAGGAGCAAGTGGCCGTTTATAAACGTCCCCCCACTTCCCTGCCTATGCGCACTTTTTCAAAATGTTTGGACTTTTTCATTTATATAGCAAAAAAAAAAAAAATTATCCCAGTGGTGAATAAATACCACCAAAATAAAGTTTTATCTTTCTCAAAAAAATGCTAAAAAATTCATATGGGTACAGTGTTGCACAATCCCTGTTGAAAAAGTCCGGTTTTGACGAAACGTGTCCGGGGCATGTGACGTAGTGACGTATTGACGTTTCCGAAAGTGCCATGGCGGCCATCTTGGGTTCTGGAACACGCGGCTGTGCATACCCTTTGGACTTCCATCGACCAACTGGCTCTCCTTCAGAGTTGTATGGCCATTGGTTTGAAACTACCGCTGAGGAGTGATGTTGTCTTGATTGTTTCACTATATGGAAGCTGATCTCATCGTTTTTTAATGTAAGTTGCTACAATAAAATTCTGTGTGTTATTTAATACAAACACTGACCCCTGGTCTGTTTATGAGGTCTATGGGAGGTGTCTGGAGAAGATGATTTATATATTGTTTGGAGACAATCCCATCCTTACTATGGATCCTATGCTGGTTTTATCTATATTAGGGTAATTATGCACTTTTATTATATTGTGTGCAGTGGGTTTATTCATTAAATTGTTGGAGTTTGAACATTTCACGATTGCTGTGGCACTTTAGTTTTTGCATGTGACACGTGTGGCACTATTATAAAGACCTAGGATAATACACTATGTTTAGATTTTTATCTTTGAGGTATATGAAGATTTTCTGGAGTTCATCATCAAATTTGCCCTAGGATCTAAATTATTGTGAAATCATCTGCAAGTGTGTTTTTTTTTGGACTTTATTTTGGACTTTATTTGGACTTTGGGTTGTATTGATATTATTGATGCGTTTATTCATTTAAATCAAGTTTGCTGTATTATTTTATATCTAGTGTTGCACAATTGTCATTCAAAGTGTGATAGCGCTGAAAGCTGAAAATTGGCCTGGACAGGAAGGGGGTGAAAGTGTCCGGACAGGAAGGGGGTGAAAGTGTCCGGACATGAAGTGGTTAAATAATAAACAAAAAGCAATCTGTGAAATGAAAAATGTGGTGCAGAAAAAACACAAAACTGACAATGCTAATATTTTACAGTTTGGTCTGGTAACATCAGAACCCTGTTGTAACAATAAGTACAGAACAGATATACATATACTTTCCATAAAATACAGCAAAATGTGACTGGAAAATGCTATAAAATGATCTTGTTCTAGAAAGTTATGATGTTTGCTGCATCTCTGTGATAATAACCACACACCGATACCTGTGTCTGTGGATCAGAGCACTGAAGGCCAGCCCATCTCTCCAGCTTGTGGTAAAGTTCTGTATATTGACCTCAGGATAGCTGCACAAAGAGAATGTTGCATTAATATAAAGCTGTTTGTTGGCTCGCGTCACTGTGTGAACTTCTGCCCAGAACTCACCCTGCAGTCTTCATCTGGCACCACAGAAGGAGGGCGTCCTTTGCTGACCTTGTCTCACGATTGTCTTCTGTTTCTATCTTGATAACTTGGATCTGCAAATTGGTGACAGGGAGAACAGTTAAGTAGGTCTTGGAATAGAAGGAAATGAGAAAGGACAATGGAGGTACCATGGATATCTTACCACCAGACGAGCTATTCCAGGCACATTCAAATGGAGAGAGGCTCAAGGGCAGACCAGACCATGCTGGAGTGATTACATCTCCCCACTGCCTTGGAAATGCACTGGAATAGCCAAGGAAGTTGAATCCTTTGGTAGATTCAACCTTCCTGTGATTACCTGTTCACTCTGATGTTACATCACTCTCACTAGGAACAGCAAATATCAGATCAAGATGAGATGCAAGAAAATGGTATATCCCCCCACCCAGATTATAGAATGGCACTATGTACTAATGCAAAGAAAAGGTAGCCTATGGTATGACATTCAAATGAGGAGGCCCAGGGTTAAAACCCACAACATGCTGGATGTGATTATATTTCCCAGTTGCCCCTGAAAGGTATTGGAATACCCAAGGAAGCTGAATCCTTTGCTAGATTCAAGCTTTCTGTGTTTACCTGCTCAGCCTGATGTCACATTTACTCCCGCTAGGAAAAAGCAAATGTCAGATCAAGATGAGATGTAAAAAGGTAGCATATTCCTCCTGATTATAGGCAGTCCCAGATGGCACTATGTAATAATGCAGTAAAGAGAAGGTAACCAATGATATGACATGTACAAAGAGCTATTATGTAAACAGATAAATACACAGTTGAAATGCACGTTTACTATTTTATTGCCAAAGGTTTTGCAATTCTGTGCAGGCAGTCCTGTGATTTATACACCTTTGTTATGCTGCATAGTCAGAAATTTGCCTCAGGTGCATCTAGCTTCAGCTTTGCTGCTTCTTCATACTGCTTTCTAGGTCACCTCAGTGGTAAGTGGACAGAGGTAATAATGCTGATTCACTAACCAGGCTGGAGTTGGAGAGTTCACACAGAATCTGCATTGCTGGACCGGGGAATAAGGCAGTGGTCTCCAAACTGCAGCCCAGGGGGCACTTTGCGTGCCTTTATTCGTCTCTTTGGGCACTATTTCCTCCCACTGCCCTTAACAATGGGACACCAATGATGGGGCACTATTCCTCCCACTGACATCGACGGGGCACTATTCCTCCCACTGACATCGACGGGGCACTATTCCTCCCACTGACATCGACGGGGCACTATTCCTCCTCCCACTGGGGCACACCAATGACGGGGCACTATTCCTATTAGGTAAGCCCTGCACACCCTTTGAGAACGTGCATCGCACGAAACACGTCAGGGGGGCTACAGCACATGGACATCTAGCCACCACATGTGGCCAACTATATTTATGGTCAGTAGCATCCTTTATTTTACCCTATCTTGAGAATAAACTTGTTCATACAACATTACACTATGTGGCGTCCCTTATTGGGCTCTCTTTGAGAGCACCACCTTCCACAGTGCCTGGTTGGACCAAGGGGAATTTTGTCGCCCATACTGAACCCTGGTAATTGTTGATTACGGTGAGACGGAGGATGATGTAGAGTGTGACCTGACCAGAACCCTATTGACTGAGATGTTTTGAAGATTTATATCTCTCTACATGCGTATTTTATACGCACTTCTGGTGAGTGCGCAATCTATTTGTTTTAAGGACCTTTATCTCTGAACTGCAACACATCCCTTACAGCAATTAACATGGGAATTTGGACTATTGTGTGCTTTGTCATTATTACCTGAACAGCAGATTGCATTTTATTTTTATTTTTCATTTTTTCTCTTTTTCTGCCTTTGCTTATACGTTTAGGGCATTTACATCGAGTACTTATTTTATGTTTTCATAAATTCACCGATCCCTCTCTTTTTTCCATTTGTTTACAGAAAGGTTGGTTGGTTACCTTTTTTTGGTGTTCTAGCGGCTCATATAGATACATTTGTGTAGCGCTCGCTTTTCCATTTTTACACTATTCCTCCCACTGACACCAATGATAGGGTACTATTCCTTCCACTGACACCAATGATGGGGCACTATTCCTCCCAATGACACCAATGATGGGGCACTATTCCTCCCACTGACACCAATGATGGGGCACTATTCTTCCCACTGACACCAATGACGGGGCACTATTCCTCCCACTGCCCTTAACAATGGGACACCAATGACGGGGCACTATTCCTCCCACTGACATCGACGGGGTACTATTCCTCCCACTGACATCAACGACGGGGCACTATTCTTCCCACTGACACCAATGACAGGGCACTATTCTTCCCACTGACATCAACGACGGGGCTATTCTTCCCACTTCAGGGCACTATTCTTCCCACTGACATCAACGATGGGGCACTATTCCTCCCAGTGACACCAGCTATGGGAAAATATTCCTCCCACTGACACCAAAAATGAGACACTATTTCTCTAATAACAAAAATAGGACATTGTTCACTCCCATTGGCCACAGTCCAGCCCCTTTAAAGTCTAAAGGATAGTAGACTGGCTCTTTGCTTAGAAAGTTTGGAAAGGGCTCATGTATACACCCACAGCCACAGGTGCTGCCCAGAGCCACCCCGTAGAAATGAATGGCTGTATGCAGGAATATGCTGGTACCTGTGTAAACCTGTACTTGAGATTTTACATCTCTACACATGCAAAGATTTATGCAAGTACCAGCGTATACATACATACCTGCATACAGCCTTTCGTGTGTATGTGGCAGCTGTATGCAGCAAATATGGCTTCTGGGCTGGGAATACATCCAAAGCTACATTGTACAGCAAGTGTATCAGATGCCTAGCTGTTCAGTGTGGAATAGGTGTGTAGGCCACATGGCTGGACAGAATTACAAATAATGTTGCAAATAAATCAATAATCAAATATGTATTTAAACTGTGCATCCAATTGTTTGCCTGAAACTCTACTCTTGCTTTACAAATCTCCTCTGATTGAAGAGGAACTAAGCCAACTGATTTTCTCCAAAAAGCTCAAATTAAAAGTATCAAAAAACTATAATAAATTCCTAAACAGGCATACTAATGTTGTGTTCTGTTTTCATTTACACCCTGCCCACATGCGCATGCGCGGTGTATACTGCATTCAATGCATGCCACTAGTGAGAACTGTTCACAGTTGTCTGTAGGCTTAGGTCAGCTCCCAACCAATTTTTAACACCCTGCCACCAGCTCATTATTTGGTACCTAATGCTGGATGATGGAGTCAGGCATCCCAAAAACGTGATTGCTTTGATAGGCTATCACAGCAAATAAATGATCGAGCGTTGCAACTGTTAAAAAAAATGATTGAGAGTTTGTCTTTGGCTCCTGATCGCAAAACCTCACCAGGGGCTGTCAGTGACAGCGCAGTCACTATGCTGGGAGTGCCGAATGAATGCACATAAATGAATGCTTATATGCAGCAGCCCAGTGTTAAAAGCCCATCTCTGTGGAGCTGCAAATATGTGTGAGGCTGGCATCAAGAGGTTAAAGGCCTCAAATGGCTGGTGTCATAGTTGGTCACATGTGCACGCAAAGAGAGGGATTTACAAAAGCTGGTGCACACCAAAAATGTGCCAATTTCTCTATACCATATTCAGCACTTCCCGTGACAAAGTGATAAAAGTGGAGCACATCAATTCAGTAATTTGTTGCAGGATGGTGTGAGTAGTTTGAGAGCACTCCCTCTGGCATGCGTCAATATTCCACTGGGATCTAAATGTTAATCCTTTTCCTCTTTTCTACATTGCTGCACCTCGCTGGCCATTCATATATACAAGGGGTGTTCAAGTCAAACTGGGACTTTTAATGTTACAGGTATAATAAAGGATGCTATGCATGGCGGTATTACACGCAGTAGTAAATGGCAAGTGTCCTATTACTGATAGGCGGCGCACAAGTTGCCGGCCAGTACAGAGACCGATAATCATGATGGCAGACAACAAGGTTAGTTGCTGCATGGAACAGCGTGTGGTGATGAAGTTTCTTATAAACGAAGGTGTAAAACCCGCAGATATCTGTAGAAGACTTCAAGCACAATACAGTGATGAGACGCTGAGCCGCAGTAAGTCATTCGAATGATGTAAACTTTGCAAAGATGGCCGTATATCCGTCAGTGGAGATCCCGGCCGTGGTGGTTCCCAGCCCACAGCAGTCATTCCTGTGCACATTCAGTGCGTGGACCGCCTGATCCTGGATAATCAAATCGTAACCTGTCATGAAATTGCGCGAGACGAATCTTTATGTGGGAATTGAACACAAAGACGACGCAGTATATCTGTCAGAGTGCCCGGCCGTGGTGGTACCCAGCCCAAAGTAGTCAATCCTGTAAACATTCAGCGCATGGAAAGCCTGATTCGGATAATCGAATCGTAACCTTTCATGAAATGGCGCAAGAGACGATTCTTTATGTGGGAATGGTGAACACAATAGCGACACTGTATATCTGTCAGAGCTGATCCCGGCCGTGGTAGTACCCAGCCCAAAGTAGTCATTCCTGTAAACATTCAGCGCATGGAAAGCCTGATTCTGGATAATCGAATCGTAACCTTTCATGAAATTGCGCAAGAGACGATTCTTTATGTGGGAACAGTGAACACAAAGACGACGCAGTGAAGCAGACTGTCCTAGGATGTTCAGGCACACTGAAACAATTCAGTACTGTCCGTGATACTTTTTTTATTTGCACTAACATACAATTTTAAGGACAAGCTTTCGGGGAGTGTCCCCGTCTTCAAGGTCCAAGCAGTACTGTCCCCGAAACACTCCCCGAAAGCTTGTCCTCAAAATTGTATGTTAGTGCAAATAAAAAAAGTATCACGGACAGTACTCAATTGTTCCTGTCGCAACTGCACTAATACGGCTACAATCACCTCAGGCATACTGACAAATCCTGTGCCAAAACTTTCCAGGCATTAGTTAAACGCTGGGATAAGTGTATAAATGTAGCAGGGGAGTATGCTGAAAAATAAATGCAATTTCCACTCCTTGAAATTTTTTCTTTTATTATATAAACTCAAAAGACTTGACTTGAACACACCTCGTATATCCCTCCTCTCCTCTCATTGCTGCAGTGCTGATCGTCGTAGTTGCCTCTCCTCCTTACTGTATTTACAACACTTTGGTAATGGTGTATAATTTAGAACTGTTCTTAACTTAGAATATATATTGGTGCAAGTGCTTCATATTTTGGGGCATGTGATCAGACATTTATAGGAAATGTCACATAACACTTTTAATGTGGTTTGATACAGCATGGGACAAAAAAACACAAAGAACTGGTTTTATAACATTGTTAGTTTGGTGGAAAACGTGCCAATATTTACACCACAAAATTGACATAATTCCCTTTGTTAATTCCCCCCATGATATTTGTACACTGTATCAACTAAGTATGAATGTTTAAGTACAGTGCAGACACCCCTTGGGTTGACCTAGTTCTCAATGGAGCAATTGCCAGGAGAACCCAACCAGCCCTTGGTCAGCCAGGGAACATCTGCTGCAATCACACATGGATATGAGAATCATGCTGCTTTTGGTCAAACAATGAAATGACATTTTAAGCTACAAATTAGATTGGCAAGTATCAGCACTGCCAATACCTTGCCATCGTTAATCTAACAGAAGACAGACAGGACACCATGGATGAAGTTCATGCTTCCTCACTTCAGCTTTACCCAGCAGGTGACAGAATCAGAAGCAGCTGAGAGGATAGCATCAGGCTTAAGGCCAGCCAATGTCAGAGGTGAATAAGCAGCACTCACACATCCATCCAACATTGCACATCTGTGGAATTATACTTTACATGCACTTCAGTCTTTTTAGATAAAGTAGTGGAATAAAACTAATACTGATGTCTAAAGCAATGTCTTAAAGCTGTCAAGTGACTGTGGATGGCATATAATACCTGGAAACGGAGGATAATAGTCCAGATAAGGCCCAGGGTAAGCCGGTGATTGCCGTCTACGATATCATGTGAGCCCACGTTCTCTAGATGGACCCGCTGCTCCTTGAGAAACTGGAGAGCTTTGTCCACATTCTCCAGAGAGTGAATTCTCATCCGGCCCCGGGTAGGTTTAGGCTGGAGATAGATACTAGATGTCACTGTATAAAGAGGACTAGTTCCCCAAGTCTTTGAACCCAATACTTCACCTATTATGAGGGTTAGGCTGCAGGCATATCATGGAGAATACTAAACCCTTAATCTAGAAGAATACCTTACTCAATACAGGATCAGGGCCAGAGATACATACTTTTATTCGCTAAGACAAAAAAAGCATTGATTTTTTTTATTGATCTGGCTTCGGTAAAATTATATCTGATTGGTTGATAAATTAAAATATAGAAGGGGGTTGGACATGCAGGTACATTGCAACCACTGAACATTTTTTTTTTCCTTTTTTTAACGAACAGATATATGAACAGACATGCGTATACAGCCCAAACATGTTTCTCTATGCAATGAGGAGACAGAGTGAAAACCCAACGTGGCCAGTTGCCTATACCACCCAACAATAATCAACTAAGGATGTCTGCACTAATATAATAGTAGCCATAGATATGACAATCACCGCCTGATCCAACCAAATCACCTTGGTTGGGCAGGAATCATCTAAAGTCAACTCTAGGGCTACCTCTAGGTTCTCCTACCATGCTGGCTGTACAGAAGTCATTGTATTTGATTATGTATACCCCACTCCATACACAAGTTAACAATCCAGTGTACACAGTGCTATTCAGGAATCATCTAAAGTCAACTCTAGGGCTACCTCTAGGTTCTCCTACCATGCATGTACCATTGTATTTGATTATGTATACCCACTCCACACATGCAAAGTCATGTTAACCCAGTGTACACAGTGCTATGCCTTACCAGTTGCTCTCCAGACAGCACCTCCAGAAGTTTGGTGATGATATAACCATCACGGAGATCACTGTACAGGTCATTAACACGACATGGAACTTTCGAGAGGTGAGAATTCATCCACTTGGTGAAGGTTTTCTTCTGAACAGCATCACGCTCATCTATGAAAGAAATATTCTGTGAAATGTACCATTTCCAATATAAATAAAATATACAATTTTAAAACATGGGTTTTTAAAGGGTCAGGGTTCCTTAAAGTGACACTTTCACTATAGATGCAGTCTAGTAGGCTGAGTCATCCTCTGACCCAAATTAATCTCTATCATAACATATGGAAATTTCAAAAGCAGAGTGGAAGTACAAAGTAAAGTGGGTGCAAAAGCAGTGCAAACCCGGATATGCAAGTGCAGAGATCGAATAGGGTATTGCACAAATTTTGGACTGCGAATGGCGTTGGAAAATGGGGATGGGGCAGACGTGGCAAAAGTGAGTTTAAGAGACTTTTGTATTTTTAAGGGCCTTGAAGGAAATCATATTTGTATTTTCATATGACTGCATTAGTATAAAGAAGTTGGGCATGTATCTTAACTTAATTACTTGGGTAGCACGTTTTGATTAATGTTTCACTCTGAAGTGTTGTGAAATCACTTTTCAGTGTGATCCTGCAAACCAGATTTATTTTCAGTTTTGTTTCTTTGTGACCGTGCTGGTTGTTTTTTGTTTACTTTACGTAAATGGAGTCTTGAAGGAGCAATTACATCACTCCCTGTTGAGCACTGCAACATGGGAGAAAGACACATGCTCCCCAAAACCTGCAAGCACCAGGTATTTTGAGACAGAAAAAGGTGGGGGGGGGGGGGCTTTACCCAGACACTGTCACTTTGCTATGAATAAAGTGACAGAGGGGAAGATTTACCAAGGTAGAGTTCACAATATTGCGGTTTTGAGGACCGCATTTGTGTGGGCACGGCAGCTTATTTTATTTGATAAAAGCATTTTTAAAACCCAGGGGACAGGAAATCACATGGTGCTTTGTGTTGCACTTTTAGGTGCATGGAAGTTCCATTAATAATGAATGGCAGCCCTGCGCATTTTTAAAGAGCTGCACATTTTGGCTGTGGGTGCTTGCAGTTGTGATTCCTGCACTCGCAACCACCCACGATAGCGTGAACCTAGCCTCAAACTGGAACACTCACAACCTGATGCAGCTGCGCATGGTAGCCAGTTAGCATCTTACTTCAGCTTGTTCAATTAAGTTTTGACAATAAAACCTGAAAGCTGATTTCTATGCAGAGCTGCGCCAACTTTTGCACACTCCAGTTTTAGTAAATCTCCTTTCAGAGAATCCTTAAGGCTTGGTTCACATATGTGCTGGTGGTGCCGATGCGGATCCGCAGGAAAATCCGTGCATCCGCACCACCCGCACAGAGGAATGCGGACCCGCGGGCGGGTGCCATTAATTCTAATGGCACGCCGCCCACACTGAAAAACGCAACCATACTGGGAACTGAGGTTCCCGTGCGGCCTGAGTTTTCAGAAGAAGTGCAGGGACTTCTTCCCTGCGTGTCACGGGGCACAGGACTCCATTAAAATGAATGGGCTCTCGTGCCCGAGCAAAACACAGCCCACACAGCCACATATATGTGAACCAGGGGCCAAGGATAAGTTCACCTTTCGCAACATGTTACACCCATATTCAGAGTGTACCATGTTACAAAATGAATGGCACTCGCTTCCCCGTTTTGATAGCTAGCAGAGGATCTTCTCCCCCTGTTAGCTGTCAAAATTTTTAAACAACGCGTCCACACAGGGCTCTACCCACCCGACCACGTCACTCTTTCACAGTATTCTGTGCATGGTAAAATGACATGTTACGACAGCCTTTGCGGCCTGTTGAGCAGCGTGGTAGTTTAATGATTCTTCCTGTCACTAAGCATCTGCCTCCCCGTACAAGTTAGGAGCAAACAGCTGCTGATCTGGTGAAATGCTCTCAAAACCAAAAATAGTAAATGCACATTTTTTTACCTGTAAAAAAATGTGCATTTAATATTTTTTTTCAAATGTGAACTTATCCTTTAAACACAACAAGAAGTTTCAATGTAAATGTGCATAGCCAGGTAAAAACGATACAGACTTTTGCCTGGCCATGGCCCACACTTAACAATGACACCGTAGGATGTTTAATCTGATCCAGCAAAGATAGCATTAATAATTGATGCAATAACAACGAGTAAAGGATGGGATTAGAGTGGAAAGTACAACCCTATCACTTTCTACACTTCTCGCTCGATTTCATGTTGCCTTTTCTGCTTCACGTCCAGAAATTTGTAGATATATCAAATTGTGTAATAAACCCCTGATAATACATAAAACTCATACCAGCCAAAGCTTTAATCCGGAGCACTCAAACAGTTTTCCAGAGGCCGCAGGCTCGTCCCACACATGCTCAGCCTGATCCCAGCGATTGTTGTTGTTGGGGGGCGTTTGCACCTCCATGTTGTCCAGCTCTGGGCTCAAATTTGCCATCACAACTGCAAGAGAACACAATGAGAAACTTTTTCATAGACAGTAACCTCTACATAGGTCAAAAAGGTTCTACCTCTCTGGGTGAACAAGCAATGCACAAAGTGGAGTTGGAGGGTTATTAATACACTCACCATCAATGTCAGATCCTGAAATTCCTGGTCAGAGCTTTTACAAGGACCTCTAGTCCCTTCCACTCCTCCACGCCTTCTAAATGTCACAGATTTACCCTAGAGTATAGTATGGCACCCCCAAAAAGTGGAGACAGTAGCATACACAGCAAGATGTAGAAGTTATTTCAAATACGAAGGTCAAATAAAAACTGAATCAACATTACTGCTGGAGTATCTGTTTAAGGAAAACAGTATTTAGAGAGGGACTAGAAATTGCATCCTCAGCAACTGTTACAAGAATTGGCAAATCTCGCTCTCTATAAGAATGATGCAGGAGAGAATCCTAAAGCTCCTGATTGATTAGGCAAGGTGTAAAGCCATAGCCAGGGCTCTTATTGCAGCCGATGCCTTCAAGGAGCTCTCCTGCAGCCGCTGTGAGTAAACAACACAAGCAGCTGCAGTGAGCAAAATTCCAGGGTGGGTCCAGTATGAAAGTCTGGAGAAAGAAAGGATTATTTTTATTAGGATAGAGGTGCTTTCCTGCATTTTCCTACATCCTCCCAAGGCATAAGTTGACCTACCGGTTACAATCGGTGATTTAAATACCAATAAACTGCCCTGCCTGACTTTTGGGACATTAATCTGCAGCTTTCCCACAGCATGGCGTTCTTTTAAGGAAACACAATGCACAAAGCTGCCTTTGCTGACCTAGAAATACCAGTTGCCTGGCTGTTTCTGGCTTTCTAAAGTCAATGAACCAGAACAAGCAATCCATATGCAAAGCCAGACTGAAGTCAGAACTTCTGACCTGTACTTAAAAGTGATATTAAACCCTTAGTTATTTTAAAGTCATTGTAAGCCTTTGTGTTTTTTTTCTAAATAACAAATATGTCATACCTACCTGCTCTATGTAATGGTTTTGCACAGAGCAGCTCCGATTATCCCGTCCAGGGGCCAGTGCTCCTGGCTCCACCTCTTCTGCAAGTGCCCCTATAGGAAACCGCTTCCTATGGGGTCACTAATGAGGGCTCGAACCTGAGCCTCGCAGCCTGCATCTATAGACACGGATAGCATGACTCAGCCCTGCCCCCACTTCCTCAGCACAGGATTTGATTGTCAGCAGTAGGAGCCAATGCTGCTATCAATCTACCCTATGAAAGGGAGAGAGCAGAGAGAGCCGTTGCTCTTGAGTACAGCACTGGATTGGGATCACACTAAGATAAGTAAATGGGGGCTGGGGGGAATCCTGTGCACAGAAGGGTTTTTTCCTTATTGCAGTGAATGAATACAAAAACTGTAGCTGCTGACTTTTAAAAAACAGACACTCACCTGTCCGCCTCACCGCAGCCAGGTTCACCAGCCATCAGGGGCGGACTGACCATTTGAAACTTGGGCACTGCCCGAGAGCCCGGGGTCAGTAGGGGGCCCCATGAGATGCCCTTGGTACCTTTTTTATAGGCTTTTTTGAGTTTGGGCAAGGACACAGGGGCCCCATGAGTTGTCAATCCGCCCCTGCCAGCCATCCTCTCTCCCCGGCGCCGTCATCTTATGTGTGGGCAACAGGCTGTGACAGCTTGCGCTTTCACAACTGGGTGCCAACTGTGCATTTGCGAGTAACGCTGTTCCTTGTGAATGGTCTCGTAGTTTTTTGGGACCTGTCATGTGTCCCAGAAGACTATGGGGAGGGAGAAAGGACAACGTCCGCTTTCGATCACCTAAGCGATTGCAACGGAAGTGGGAGAGGGTACCTGTCAAAATCCGATCCCCGCTCTCCAAAGGTTTCAACCCTTAACAGGGAGCAATGGACAATGGCCTTAAAGTGGAACTTCCCCTTCTGGGTGCAGCTCCGCTTTAAGGCAAAAAAACCTTAAGCCTTTAGAACCACTTTAAGCACTTTCAGCAGCTGATTTCATCATTTATTGAGTATGCAGTTACTGTATCTTTTAACCCTTAGCTCCGGGGAAGGGGGTGTTAGCCCCTGAAAAGCATTAGCCTTCCAACCATGTGGTACATTATGAGGTAACGCCGCCTACGGCTGGAGGTGCTGTTGTTTGATACGCCTGTCCCTATTCATGTTTGTGAGTATGCAATTGCCTGTGCAATTTAATAAACGTTTATGCTGGTAATGCATTAGATGTTTTGTGCCCTTTTGTGTGTGTTTTTTGCAGTATATTGAAAATTACCTGTGTGCCAGGATGATTGACTTCTGCGCATGCATGGAGGAGTTGTGTCATCCCATGCCAGCCAATGAAGATACCTGAAGACCAGCAAATGGGGAGAAGATGCCAGCACAGCTCATTTTTACAGTCAAACCGGGATACCGTCTTGTTTACAATTCTTATGTTTCCATTCACCACTCTCTGCTATGCCCCTTCAGCCCCTCGAGAACCTGAGCCAGCTGCTCCCGTCTTCTCCACAGCCTGGCTCTCCAGTGAGCTCTGGAGGGGAAGAGCAGAGAGTGGCGACTGAAAATCATTGCTCTCTGCATACTGAAGGTCTTTGATTGCTCAATTCTCAGTCTTAGAAGCAGTGGGGGACAGATGTAACATGGAGCTGAAACCTGTACTTCTCTTTTAAAGTGTGTATCAGGATTCTTGGTCGTCTTTGTGCTTACTGTGAAGGTATAACCTCTTTACTTGTCTTGGTGACTACTGTCTCTGGGACAGAGAGCGAAAGTAGTCTCCCAATGGTGGCACCTTGTCCATTGTCTTGGAGGGGATATCCCCTCACTTTAGAGAGGTATCTCCTCCCTTTTTGAACTGCCTCTGAGAAAGAAAATGAAGATAAATCTCTGCAACTGGACTAACCAAAAAATGCACGGTGATGTAAACATTCTCTACTTTATCCAAGGTAGGGAATGGTTGAAGGCTGAAACCATGCCAGAAGAATAAAACTTTCAAAAGCTGGCACCTCAAAACATATCCAGTTAGCCACAAGAAAGGTAATACCTAAAATGTTACTTCCCTACTACTAAGACAGCACAGTACTCCACTGTTACTTTTTCCCAAACGATTAGACTCCCTCAAGAGTTGGTTTTGGCCAGCTCAGTGGATTGCTTTAAAAAAGTCCTGTTCTTTCTTAGATACACAGAATATAACATTTATTGGTAAAGTTGATCCAGGGAATATCCGATTGCCTCTCTGGGGATCAGGAAGGAATTTTTTTCCCTGCAGGAGCAAATTGGATCATGCTTTGCTGGGTTTTTTTTGCCTTCCTCTGGATCAACTGTGGGTATAGGATTATAACTTTTTTTTTAAATGGTTGAACTGGATGGACTTTTGTCTTTTTGCAGCCAGAATAACTATGTAACTATGTAATTAAAAAAATAAGTTGATGGTATGTGCTCATAGAGTATGCTTAGTTGTATGATCCTGCTACATTTCCCCAGAATTTTGACATTTCATAACCTAGACTGCTTCTGATGCAAACAAAAACTTATCAGGATGGGCCCAGAAGGTTTTAAGCCACTGTTGTGGGACCTTGTGATACTGCTTTGTCATACCCTTACATAAGGACTTCAAGAGGTTCCAGAACAATGACTCGAAAACGTTTAGGGCCTGTGTTTACAGGCTTTTGTCAGTCCATTGTAATGCAAAACCCACTTGAAGCTGGTCAAATGCAGGTCAGAAGGAGGTCAACTGCAGGCTAAATGCACCTGTCAAAAAATTCTGACTGATCCTACATGTAATGATGTCATTGTCACAACACAATGTAAGGAGCATTCTTCTCACTGATCACCAGTGTAAGGATCTTTTTTACCATTGACCACCAATGTAAGGGACATTCTTCCCACTGACCACCAATGCAAGGGACATTCTTCCCACTGACCACCAATGTAAGAGACATTCTTCCCACTGACCACCAATGTAAGAGACATTCTTCCCACTGGCTACCAATGTAAGGGACATTCTTCCCACTGATCACCAACATAAGGATACATTTTTCTACTGACCACCATTGTAATGATCTTTCTTCTCACTGACCACCAATATAAGAGACATTCTTCCCACTGACCACCAATGTAAGGGACATTCTTCCCACTGACCACCAATGTAAGGAACATTCTTCCCACTGACCACCATTGGGACTTTCTTCCACTGACCACCAATGTAAGGGACATTCTTCCCACTGGCTACCAATGTAAGGGACATTCTTCCCAATGTCCACCAACATAAGGATACATTTTTCTACTGACCACCATTGTAATGATCTTTCTTCTCACCGACCACCAATATAAGGATCATTCTTCATTCTGTTCGCCAATGTAAAGAACATTCTTCCCCCTGACCATCACACTACTGTACAGTGAGCTGTAGACAAATCCCTGGGATCAGAAATACATTTCAAGGAATCCTCCATGTTAAAAGGTTGAGAAAGGTTGTCATAGAGGTTAAATGTCTGTAAAGCACTAGACTGTAAGCTGTTTTATACCAGGGGCAGGTTCTAAGATACCCTGTGCTGCACAATTTGGCTCTGTATTAAAGCATAACTAAAAACTCTGCATATAAACGTAACATATGATAGTTCCAACACCCAGGATCAAAATTCCAGTTTTTATTTTCTTCTTTTAAACCTAACCTCACCTTCGTCAACATAATATAAAGCAGTATTCAAGATAGATAAAGAAATGCTAGTCTATGTGTTCATTAATAGATTATTAAAGTATAACTCAAGGCAAAACTGTCAGGTTTTTATTGCTGTCTGAACACATTAGGGAGATTCACCCTCTCTATTTGTCCTGTTTACCATGATCATTGAAAGTGAAAGTAAAATCCTAAATGTTGGGTTGTCCCCAGAAAAGTAATAAATGGAAAATGTTCCAATGGGGACACTAGTTCTGGTGACCTGGGAGCCACAATGGATTC